GGAAAAGAAACCCACAAGACAGGTCAATGCTCCAGTCAAGCAGAAACCTGTTAAGAAATCAGTAAAGCCACAGGAAAAGCAATCAACAGGATGGAAGTCTGCACAACAGAAACCCCAAACAGGTGCTCCAAGGACCATCACCATACAGGAAGGAGATCTTCAAAATCTGGTAAAGCAGTTGGTAGAGGAACAAATCAGATCTCAATTACAGACACAGTCTACAGAGAGGTCATCTGATTCCAACCAATGGCCAGGGAGGAGGGAAAATCCCACCAATGCCTTCAATGTAAGATCACCTTACAATGGTAACCTACCAGCACCCCGGGGACAAGCAGATCCTCAAACAAGTAGACCAAATAATGGAATTTGTTTTGCTTGTGGCCAAAACGGACACTTTGCCAGGAGCTGTCCACTGAGGAATCAACAGAAAACTCGTAACAACGAGGGGAGATTCCAACAGAGTACTCTTAGTACTGCCAATCAACAACGACCCAACGATATCCAGCGAAGTGGAGATGAAACCTTGATGCAGAGTTCCTCTCCAAATTTGACCCACATGTCGTCAAACTAGAGAGGGTCACTCCTGTTGACCAGGGAGTGACCCAAACTGAAGGGAAAGATAACGGTCATAGGAAAATGCAGGAGACAACACGTACAACAGGAGTAACAACCCTTGGTGATCAAGGTATCACACAAATTGCAAGACAACTCATGAGGAGTGAGGGCATCTACATAAAAGGGAAGATTCAAGGCATGAAGGTCATGCTTACAGTCGACACGGGAGCTATCCGGACGGTGCTGTCAGACCGAGCCTACAGGAAGATCCCTGAGGATGTACGACCCCACTTAGAGAAGTCTTACATGTTAACCAGTGTAAATGACCAACCTCTGAAGGAGATGGGGAAAGCCAAGTTCCAGTTTGAATTGGGAGAATTGAAGTTTAAGGAAGAATTAGTTGTTGCTGAAATTGAAGATGAAGCGTTATTGGGCTTAGATGTGCTGATGAAGGGTCCCGGTGGACCAGCAAATATTAATCTTAGAGAGGGTGTCATCCTGTTGAATGGTTGTTCAATCCCCTGCATCCAGAACAATCAACCCAGCAGACTTAGGAAAGTCTGTGCTGAGGAAGATTATCAGATTCCTGCCAAATCAGAAATGATTGTGGATGTACCAGTACTTGTTGATAGAGAAGAAGATGAGTGTCGTGAAGTGTCAAACGATTTTATAGTGGAACCGTTGGAAGAGCTTCCTGCTAGATATCCAGAGACAATGGCAGATAATGTTGTTGAAAATAATGATGATGTTATGGGAAGTAAAATCAGCATTGCAGATTCCTCTGAGGAAGAGGTAAATACAGTGATCATCCAGGGAGATGAAGAAGACAAAACTAAGAAGTTTGACTTAGGATCCGACATATTGATGTTACGTCAAAGTCAAGGAAAGGATACCGACTATGGTGCAGTGCCAGTGAGGAGACTGAACTTATTGCCATCTGTGAAATCCACTGTCCATGGTGGCAACGATGGAACCATCACTGCAGCCTTACCTGTGCAGTGGGAAACCAACGTTGGAATCATCAGGAATCTCGCCATGAAGGGGACAGGAGAAGGGGGCATTGGTGGAGCAAGACCCTCATCGTTCACAGAGGACCCGCAGACGGAGTACAATAAGGTAAACACTTTACAGCTTTGATGATTACCATGATGGTATGAGGTGATGATCATGAGCCAAGCTGAGACGGACCAGACAGTGATGCTTGACGGTAAGACGTAATCTGATGGGACGATGCCTTGATGAGAAGGACCAGGAATCACGTGTGATTGTGTTATATGGAACTGTGCTAAGTGATATTCTATTCTAGGAAAGAATGAAGGACGGTAAATTAAAGCATTGATACATGTATGTGTACATTATAGCCAAAGTTCTAATTTCAGATATTATGTCATATTGTAATGTATTGATGATTGTACATTGTAAGGTAGACACTTTGACCTTAATGTTTAGATTTAATATTTACTTGAGATAAGTCATTTGTGAGGACACAAATATTTTGAGAGGAGGGTAGTGTAACGGTCCAGAGATTTGACAGATTAGTTTTATACAGAGTTATTGAACCTGATTATTGTTGACATTGTAGGAGAGTTGAGATGAATTTGTATATGTGTTATAATTACTTGACATTGCAAGAATATGTACTGATTTATGCTTTGCATGTAGTTGATAGGTGATTATTGACAAGTTTAAGTCATTTACATGAGTTGAAATAGTTTGTGCACATGTTTTGAGTTACGTAGAAATCAGCTGATCGTAGCTGTAGTAAAGTTGTGGTATTACTTTAGCTTACTTCATGTTTCAGGGACTTTGATTGGTCTTCTGTAGTAGGTAAACCATAGATTTATAGATGAAATCATGTTTTCTTGAAGTTTAACTTGTTTTCAGTTAATTATCGGCAGTTTATAGACTGGTAGATTTGTTTACGAACTTGGCGGTCGTAAATTGTGTAGGTTGAGCCCGATCATAAAAGTTACGATAGTTTTCGGATTTTTGGAGTTAATTGTGTTATTTGTTGATTTAAATGGAGATTAATTTACTTATTCTAATTGAAGAATGTATTCAGAGATTACTTTCATTCAGAAAAGTTGTCTTGTATGTAGTTATTAGATTTTTCTATAGACTTTGCTGTTTACGGGAAATGTCACGAGAGATTCTCCAACGTTTTCCAATGAGTCCAACAGTTTCCAACTTTTACGTCATGTTGTTGTATAAAAGAGAGAGATTCAAGGAATTTTTGGCTCTTCTGCTAGGTTGATTTGTTTCGAGAGGACGTGTTTTAGGGGTAAGGAGTTAGTATGGGTTGGGCGTTTTGAATTTAGATTTAATAATGACCTTTTAGTTTTATTTTAAGAAGAGCCAGGGTTATTTTAAGGATTTTTAGGAACTTTTGGAATATTTGTGGAATTTTATAGGAAGTTTTGGCTAAGTTTTAGTGAATTTTAACTGAGAAATTGGACTTGGTTAAAATTTGCTGGTTGTTTGAATTTTTGGTAAATTGTTGATAAATTTTAGAATTACTTGAAATTGTTTAGGTACTTTATACATTTAGCTAAGGAAGCTAGTGTATTTCTAAATTTTGCTACTGTTTTTAACTGAAATTCAGACTTAGGAAATTTGCAGGAATTACTGGTGTTTGAAATTTGTTAGGAATTAATTAGGTTTAAGGGATTAAGTTTTAGTTATTGGTTTTTACTTTCATCCAGGAGGTCTGGGAGGAAGTTTTGAGAGTTAGGAGTTTTGTGAGTTGCATTGAAGTTGGTTTTAGGTAAGATAAGACTTATAGGTGACAAGAGACAGACTGAGACAGAGTTTAGAATTTGTTGATTGTTTAATTGAGAGATAATTATTATAATAAATGGTAAAACTGTATTTTGTTTCATTTCAAGTACAGAGATTTACAAAGTTTTATCAAAGTGTGATTTTCCAACAAGATGGAAATTGTGGGATATAAAAGAGTAAGAACAGAGTAATGAGATAAATGAGTATTTAAGAATTTTAGTGACTTCCGTAGGTCTAGATTGTAACGAGCTTGACAAATAGAGAAGAAAAGCTGAGAGATTTCGTGTATTTATAAATTTAGTGTAACTTAGAGAGCGCGGGTTAATAAAAGGAGGTTTAGGTTTTGGGCAGTGGGGTATTATCTGAGTTCATTGATTAAAGGGAGATAATTTAGTGTGTGGTGATATAAGATTAAAGAGTGTTGAGTTTTGAACCACTGTGCCATACTAGCCCTCCTGAGCTCGGGTTGAGCTGTGTAACGCAAGCCTTGCCACGAAAGATAAGACAGCCCCTATAGATAGAGTGAGGGAGTGCGGTCCCAGCAGTAGTAGGAGAGGTGCCGTCCGCCTGCCCCCCCACCCCGTTACAATATGTAAGAAACACAAAATTCTACCGCCTTGTTACCAGAGGGGACATCTCAAAATGAAAAAAATTAGCAAATTTAACTATTTTTATAGAGTATTATTAAATATGACCTACACAATGGATTCACATGAAAACATAATAAAAATATTGGAGATATTCTCAAATTTCTATTTTTTAAATTTCAAGAGCATCTGTTTATTACTTTTTCTTTAATAATATTTTTATTACCCCTTTCTTTAAGAGCAACAGATTATCATAACGTCAAAAACACACTGCAACGACGTCAACCTACTATCAATTGCAAAATCGGTTAAAAAATCAGTTATATCAAATTGTAATTATATTTTTATATCTAAAATTTCTTAATTTTGTTTAATTGTATTTATTAAGCGAAAAAAATTGCATTAAAACAGTAAATATGCTTCATTTTACAAAGATGCGCGAAATGTTGCGCAATGGAAACTATAGTCGGCCCCCTTAACTTTGAGAGTAATGGTTCAGACTCAACAATGAGATTAGTGGTTCAGACTCAACAGTGAGATTAGTGGTTCAGACTCAACAATGAGATTAGTGGTTCAGACTCAACAATGAGATTAGTGGTTCAGACTCAACAATGAGATTAGTGGTTCAGACTCAACAATGAGATTAGTGGTTCAGACTCACTATGAGATGATTGGTTCAGACTCAACAATGAGATTAGTGGTTCAGACTCAACAATGAGATTAGTGGTTCAGACTCAACAATGAGATTAGTGGTTCAGACTCACTATGAGATTAGTGGTTCAGATACAAGTATGAGATTAGTGGTTCAGCCTCAACTATGAGATTAGTGGTTCAGACTCAACAATGAGTTAAGTGGTTCAAACTTAATTATGAGATTAGTGATTCAGACACAACTATGAGATTAGTGGTTCAGCCTCAACTATGAGATTAGTGGTTCAGCCTCAACTATGAGATTAGTGGTTCAGACTCAACTATGAGATAAGTGGTTCAAACTTAGTTATGAGGTTAGTGGTTCAGACACAACTATGAGATTAGTGGTACAAGTGTATAATGGCTTAATGTTAACATTTTTTTCTTCAGTCCTCCATTTTGTGTGAGCCTGCTGTGGATGGAGATGGGGGGATCCCCGCGGGGTGTCAGTGTGATAAAGACAACGTCTTATGGATCGCAGACATGAGGCTCGGGCTCATCACTGTGGACAGAAATGGTACCTTCAAACAGGTGGAGGATCATCCGAGATCAAAATTGTTATTAAATCTTAGCTTAACATGTCAGAAAGTAACTTTTATGAGTTTCATTAAAAGGCTTATTTTTAGTTTTCATTAGGAAAAAAATCCATATTTATTGGGTTTTTATTTTACAATTTTACTTTTCTGCTTTTAAAGGGACAAAACTTTTGTCTTCATGCATCAAATTCAAGTAAATTGATTTCTGGTTGAATGAATAATTCCAGGTAAGAAAAACTTGCAAAATTATTTTTGTATTACATGTATTTGATTAAATTTTGGATATTCCCATAGATTTGTAAAGAGGATAAGACAGGCCGTACAATGCAGGGCTGTAATGACTGCACCTTTGATTATGAGGGAAATCTTTGGATAACAGCGCCAGCTGGAAAAATCGCCCCTCACCCATACGAGAGGTCAATGGAGGTACAAATATGTACATGATTATAGAGAGCTCTTATGTATTATTTTACTTCATCACTTAGTAATAAACTAGAGGCACTGTGAGCAATGAGCTCACTAATACGCCAGTTTCGAGATTGTAACTCTCCTACGATAGAGGCGCAAAAAGTATCCATTTCGGCAGGGAGGTGGGACAGGTTGTTTCTGTACAGAAACGTGCATAAGTAAATGAACGATATTTATGGCTTTTAAAATTTATTAAATGTTATAAAAAGATAATGATATTAAGCAGTGATGCATTTGATGATTTTATCAAGTTCAACTATGCATATTTACAAATCTACTTTAAATTTATAGGTACTTGAAAACGAAAGAAACGTCATAGTCTTAATAAAAAGTAACCGATTTTCTTGATCGTACAACCTTCTTTTTTTTTCTTTTTTTAAAAAGTTTGTGGGTTTTTTGAAATTATAATAAGGAAAAGAATCAATGTGTCATTTAGATCGCCTATGTACAATGATCAGATGCATGTGTACCGGTTTTCTTAGAGGTCCTAATTTCTTCCCATGTCTGAAAAGTCTCACATCCACCGACATTTTCTTTTTTGTTACGATTCTTTAACTTTATAAAATGACTTCTTTAAATTAATTCGGTTATTCTCGAAATGTAGAGTGCATCCTGACAGTCATGTAGTTATGATAAACCAGTATATCGATGATACAATGTATCCAATATATAAACATCAAATATAGTTGTCCCACCTGTTTGTTTACGTGGCAACGAAACTCCCCTCCTTAACGAAAGAGCGCACCAAGGGAGATAATCTCGAAACTTGCGTATTGATAGCCCCCTTCCCCTCCCATGTGTCCATGTTTTGCTAATACTCATGTGGGAGGCGGGGGTATCATTTATTGAGCTCTTTGCTCACAGTACCTCTAGTTTGTATATGGATCCATTTTATTAAACATAATTTTCATAAAAAAATTATTGTGATGTCACAATTGTTGATATGAAACTATACATGTGTAAAACATCAGCAATATTCTACTATAAAGGCATAAACATGTGCCAACTATTTTGTCAGATAATTTGGTGTAGAATGTGGCTCTCAATTTACCCTGAACATTTATACTTTGTTCTGATTCTATGATAAACTTTTGCTTAGTGCTTCACGTCAAAGAGATCATGTGAAATTGATTCCAACGGAACAAAAAATTGGAGGATATTTTTAATCTTTTATATAACAGTTAAATATATTCATTTATATAGAATTTAATTCACGAGTAGAACAGAATTTTTATAATAATATATTGAGTGAGAAGAACTAATACTAGTATTCTGTCTCATGAGTGAAATAAATTCTATATTCATGCAACTACAAAACATTGAAATTTCTGTTTATTTCATTTTCTTTGATTTTCCCATAGCATCTGTCTTTTTGTAGGACAGTGTCACAGGCTGTGAAGTCATAGTTGAGTGTTTGAGAAGTCATTGCTTCGCGATTGTGAAATTCAAAACATTGTATACATGAAGTACAATTTACAAATAATTCATGGCAGTTTTAGTCTTTATCATAATATATACTCTATCATAAGAAATCACGGACATTTTTACAACATTCTTTGTGAAGGGAAAGAAAATTGAAAGTTTAGATACAGTTTTGATATTCTTTCACACAGTAACAAAATATTACCTTTATTCAATAAATATAAAAGTCCTTCATCTTTCAGATGTTATAAATTCCACAAAACAAACGACAGCGTATAGTAAATATTTTTTGTTTGTTGGTAGGAGCTGTTTGGATCTGTGTACTGCTTCACCAATCAGAGGGAGATGTTGTTGATTGATACAGGGCTGAGGTTTCCTAATGGCATCGCTGTCTTACATTCCCCTGACGGCAGACCTCAGACCCTGATTGTAGCCGAGACCCCCACTAAATCCCTATGGGCCTACAACATCCAGGGTCCAGGGAAAGTGGGGCAGAGGAAACTATGGGGAAAACTGCCAGGTAAATATAAAATGTTACTATTTTAATTGATGGGTTTCTATGCACATATCAGTGTCACTTTAATGATTTTAATTTAAGAATTAGAAAAAAATCCATTTGTTTGCAGTTGCTTCAATTTGGCAAATAAAAATGTGAATTAAGTGTTAAAATAAAACACAGGCTAAAATTTTGATAAATTTGTACATTGCCAATTTTCCAATTTCATTCATTATGCCCATCAGTACACACATTTATGAATTTTTTTTTATTGAGCTGGTGTTCCATATCAGGTTACAATAGAGGAGTTTTTATTGTTAGTTTTATATTGACAGGTGATTTGGAGGGAGGACAGGTTACAATAGAGAAGCTTTTATTGTTAGTTTTATATTGACAGGTGATTTGGAGGGAGGACAGGTAACAATAGAGAAGTTTTTATTGTTAGTTTTATATTGACAGGTGTTTTGGAGGGAGGACAGGTAACAATAGAGAAGTTTTTATTGTTAGTTTTATATTGACAGGTAATTTGGAGGGAGGACAGGTAACAATAGAGAAGTTTCATTGTTAGTTTTATATTGACAGGTGACTTGGAGGGAGGACAGGTTACAATAGAGAAGTTTTTATTGTTAGTTTTATATTGACAGGTGATTTGGAGGGAGGACAGGTAACAATAGAGAAGTTTTTATTGTTAGTTTTATATTGACAGGTGATTTGGAGGGAGGAATGGTTACAATAGAAAAAGTTTTTATTGTTAGTTTTATATTTTGACAGGTGATTTGGAGGGAGGACAGGTTACAATAGAGAAGTTTTTATTGTTAGTTTTATATTGACAGGTGATTTGGAGGGAGGACAGGTTACAATAGAGAAGTTTTTATTGTTAGTTTTACATTTTGACAGGTGATTTGGAGGGAGGAATGGTTACAATAGAAAAAGTTTTTATTGTTAGTTTTATATTTTGACAGGTGATTTGGAGGGAGGACAGGTTACAATAGAGAAGTTTTCATTGTTAGTTTTATATTTTGACAGGTGACTTGGAGGGAGGAATGGTTACAATAGAGAAGTTTTTATTGTTAGTTTTATATTTTGACAGGTGACTTGGAGGGAGGACAGGTAACAATAGAGAAGTTTTTATTGTTAGTTTTATATTTTGACAGGTGACTTGGAGGGAGGACAGGTAACAATAGAGAAGTTTTTATTGTTAGTTTTATATTTTGACAGGTGACTTGGAGGGAGGAATGGTTACAATAGAGAAGTTTTCATTGTTAGTTTTATATTTTGACAGGTGATTTGGAGGGAGGACAGGTTACAATAGAGAAGTTTTCATTGTTAGTTTTATATTTTGACAGGTGACTTGGAGGGAGGAATGGTTACAATAGAGAAGTTTTTATTGTTAGTTTTATATTTTGACAGGTGATTTGGAGGGAGGACAGGTTACAATAGAGAAGTTTTCATTGTTAGTTTTATATTTTGACAGGTGATTTGGAGGGAGGACAGGTTACAATAGAGAAGTTTTCATTGTTAGTTTTATATTTTGACAGGTGATTTGGAGGGAGGAATGGTTACAATAGAGAAGTTTTTATTGTTAGTTTTATATTTTGACAGGTGACTTGGAGGGAGGAATGGTTACAATAGAGAAGTTTTTATTGTTAGTTTTATATTTTGACAGGTGATTTGGAGGGAGGACAGGTTACAATAGAGAAGTTTTCATTGTTAGTTTTATATTGACAGGTGATTTGGAGGGAGGACAGGTTACAATAGAGAAGTTTTTATTGTTAGTTTTATATTGACAGGTGACTTGGAGGGAGGACAGGTAACAATAGAGAAGTTTCATTGTTAGTTTTATATTGACAGGTGACTTGGAGGGAGGACAGGTTACAATAGAGAAGTTTTTATTGTTAGTTTTATATTTTGACAGGTGACTTGGAGGGAGGAATGGTTACAATAGAGAAGTTTTTATTGTTAGTTTTATATTGACAGGTGATTTGGAGGGAGGACAGGTAACAATAGAGAAGTTTTATTGTTAGTTTTATATTGACAGGTGATTTGGAGGGAGGACAGGTAACAATAGAGAAGTTTTTATTGTTAGTTTTATATTTTGACAGGTGACTTGGAGGGAGGACAGGTAACAATAGAGAAGTTTTTATTGTTAGTTTTATATTGACAGGTGATTTGGAGGGAGGAATGGTTACAATAGAAAAAGTTTTTATTGTTAGTTTTATATTTTGACAGGTGATTTGGAGGGAGGACAGGTTACAATAGAGAAGTTTTCATTGTTAGTTTTATATTGACAGGTGATTTGGAGGGAGGACAGGTTACAATAGAGAAGTTTTCATTGTTAGTTTTATATTGACAGGTGATTTGGAGGGAGGACAGGTTACAATAGAGAAGTTTCATTGTTAGTTTTATATTGACAGGTGATTTGGAGGGAGGACAGGTTACAATAGAGAAGTTTTCATTGTTAGTTTTATATTTTGACAGGTGACTTGGAGGGAGGAATGGTTACAATAGAGAAGTTTTTATTGTTAGTTTTATATTTTGACAGGTGACTTGGAGGGAGGACAGGTAACAATAGAGAAGTTTTTATTGTTAGTTTTATATTGACAGGTGATTTGGAGGGAGGAATGGTTACAATAGAAAGAGTTTTTATTGTTAGTTTTATATTTTGACAGGTGATTTGGAGGGAGGACAGGTTACAATAGAGAAGTTTTCATTGTTAGTTTTATATTTTGACAGGTGACTTGGAGGGAGGAATGGTTACAATAGAGAAGTTTTTATTGTTAGTTTTATATTTTGACAGGTGACTTGGAGGGAGGACAGGTAACAATAGAGAAGTTTTTATTGTTAGTTTTATATTTTGACAGGTGACTTGGAGGGAGGACAGGTTACAATAGAAAAGTTTTTATTGTTAGTTTTATATTTTGACAGGTGACTTGGAGGGAGGACAGGTTACAATAGAGAAGTTTTTATTGTTAGTTTTATATTGACAGGTGATTTGGAGGGAGGACAGGTAACAATAGAGAAGTTTTTATTGTTAGTTTTATATTGACAGGTGACTTGGAGGGAGGACCGGATGGTATGGACTTTGATGAGGAGAACAATCTCTTAGTGGCTCACTGGGGGTCGGGATTTCTGGAGGTGTTTGGAAGAGAGGGAGGGAACCCCCACACCCGCATAAGGTGCCCCTTCTCCAGGACTAGTAACCTCCACTTCAGGAAGGGGACAAAGGAAGTGTACGTCACCGAGCACAATTCTCACGGGCTGTGGAAGTTTGAGTGGCAGAGGGCCGGCAAGTTGCAGTATTGTGACATCATATCTCTGTGAGGCAGCTTATTTTACTGTATTTATTGAGTTATCATGACTTTATCAATGGTGCTAATTCTTGCCTTAAAACACTGCTAGGTTGTTGAAAAATTAAAACAACTCTCCGTTTATTGTATGATGCATTTATTGTTGCAGAAAACAATTTGTTTGCATATTTTGATATACATATGTACAATGTACATATATAATGTATGCAATATATCAACAATAGCTGCATAGTTTTGGTTTAAATTGACAATCATTAAAATACAAGAAAACAAGCTTATAACTAAATGCCAAAAACAGACAGTTCTGCTTTGAAATATGTGCAATTTGTTATATCAATTAAAGTTACAATGTATTTTGAAGTTAATGGAAATGAAAATTACTTTGCTATAAGCATCAATTCATTATAAGCACATTTTTCTGTAATTTTACGCAGGTATATCTACAAATACTTTTTGGAAAATCTTGGAAATTTTTGTTCATATTGTATTTTACACTTTGATTATTGCAAATTTATTGAAATGTTTATTTACATATTTTAGAGTCATGATTTATTTTTATTTATTGTTGAATATTTCACAATTTTATAAAAAAAATTGTTAACATTCCAATAAAATTATTTTATGCAAATTGTTTTTGTTGTGAATGCCAACCGAAAAAGAAATTAGTAACCAAATGATACAAAAATATTTAAATAGGTATACAGGAAGACAAAAAAAGTAGAGGGAATGGCACAAATGACAAAATTGGATACTGGTATATCAAAAATACTGTTATTATATTTAATTTAATTCATATTTGGCACATTTGGCAAGCTCAGTAGTTGGTCATTTTTGTGGCAAATCACAATCACACAGAAATCTTTTATAATTTATTATGACGATTAAAGGCAAATAACAAGTCCACAAGGGTTAACAATCACAATACCACATTGGCTAAGATAATGAGATGGTTTCTGATATGTACTCAGTCTTTCCTCTATCAAAACTCAATGTAAACTCAATCAAATGAATAATAATTAAGATCACAAAAACTCTCATATATATAGTATTGAAGAAACATCAGGAAATAGAAACTTCTATAAAATTCTAGGTCATCACATTCTGACATATTTTAGAGACTTCTTGATAATTAGATTATAAATGTACATCATCAAAATTCTAGAAGATACATTAAAATTGCAACAGTTCGCAACACTCCCAAGGCCAAGGAAAGTCAATCATGAATTTAGTACTTTTGTCACTTCTGATTCATCTTTCCACACTTTTTCCCGATCTGAATTGTCCATCTCGACTCATTTACAAATCGAAAATTCTTCTGAACGCCCAATTTTTCCTAGGATATCTTCTTTGAGAACAACATCTAGTGTCTTGAAATTGTTTCCCTTCAAATTTATAGAATGTTTTTCTCTCCATGGCCAAGTAACTCGATATCTGCTATTTTCTGTAATTTGAAAGTTTTTCAAGGCCTTTTCATCATCCGTCAATTGAGAATGGTCTTCAGTTCTAATTATCAGATCCTTTGACGAAAATTTCAGGGGCAGACATTTATCAATTGACGAATGAAGACAATGTTCCTTACTAAAGTTGTTTCTGTTTGCTATCAGTAACTCATGTAAATTACCTCTGGATGCCTCAGAATTTTCTTGTATTCTTCCAGTAAGAATCCATCCTACCTTTGATGAAAGTAAGTACAGTCCTTGGTCAACTTCAATTTTTTCTGATAACATCCAATCGAGGTAATAGTCATTTCCAATAAGGATGTCTACAGGTGAATTTTCTGGAGTTTTTGGTAGGGTATCAGCAAATTGAAAATGTTTATATTGGTGGTGTACTTTTTCAGAGATGATAGGTGGTAACGGTCTTCTTTGTATGGACCCAGTTATTTTAGGCACAGCATTCGCGTCAATTCTCATGAAGTGTCCATCCTTTAGTTTAATTCTTAAAGAGACTTTCGTTGTTTTCATTGTTTTGGGCTTCTTTACTCCAAATGTGTTAAGTGATATTTCTTCTGTTTGTTTCCTATGCAAATTTAATCTCGAAACCAATTCTTCGGTAACATATGTCCTCTGAGACCCAGAGTCCATCAGAATTCTAACAGATTCATCTCTCCTACCTTTCAAATCATATGCATCAGTTCTTGCAGTCTGCATTAGCACCATGTTACTTGAGGAGAGTAGACTGTTTTCTGGAACATTGTTAACTGTTTCTGTATATTTCTGATGTTTCAGGAAAATGTGAGGATTCTCTCGAAAGCGGGATCTTCTTATTGCAGAGACTTCGATGATGTTTCTTTGTCTGATGGCAGTGAACACATGGTTTGTCTACTTTGCAGTCTTTGCTCAGATGGCCTGACTTAAGACAAATGTAACATCTTCCTCTGATCTTTCGTTTTCTCTCTTCGATTGTCCTGAATTCTGTGCATTCATCACTCCAATGATTTCGTTCACAGAAAATACAAACAGGATGTTTTATTCCATATTTGTTTCTTCTCTGTGATCCTTGAAATAGTGTTGTTAGGGCTTCTGCAGTTGTATATGGCCTTTCATTTATGTATGAAAATTCAGGTGATGAAGATTTTCTAGCAGATTGTTCTTCATGACCGGTTAGGTTTTCCATATCTGTAGACTCTCTGGCTGTTATGTAGTTATCAAGAAATATTCTTAGCTTTTGCACAGTCCATTTTTCTTTCTTTCCTTTCTGTAATTCTAACTGTAATCTGGCTTCTTTTGGTAATTTTGTTATGATCATGGAAACAAAGACATCCTGGTTTACATCTTGTTCCAATGCTTCTAGGCTGCGCATATGCTTTTCTAAATCATCAAATAGTTCACGGAGACTGGAAGTATTGTTGAGTGCAGGTTTAATGTTTATAAGGTCCATGTAATGTATGTTAATCACAGACTGCACATCTCCGAATCTTTCCTTCAATATGGAGAGAGCTACATCATAATTTTCATGGGAGAGCATAAGGCCGGAAATAGCAGATTGTGCCTTTCCTTCCATTTTAAGTAGTTGAACTTCTCAACATTGGAAAGCCTTGTGTTTTTGTGTACTGAAGCTTCAAAGGAGTCCCAAAACTCTTTCCACTTTAACTTGTCTCCGTTGAATGAAGGTAGCTCAAACTTTGGTAGTTTAACTACTGGAGTTTCTTTCTCTTTGCATATCTTCTCTTTTCTGTGCAGTTCCTGAATTTGGAGTTCTTGGAAATGCATCAGTTGTTCCTGCATTTTTGTCTGCAGATTTATCATGTGGTCTATTCTTGGGTCATTTGGTGCTTCAGTCTTCATATATGGAATGTCTGCTTGTTCCAATCTTTTTTCCAGTAGTAGAAGATCTTCTGAGTGCTCTGTAACATCTGTGAGCAATTCAAACAACGTCTCACTATCTTCTGTAAATTTATCAATTTCAGATTCATTGTCTTGTTTTGCTTCCAAGGCAATGGAAAGTTCTTTCATCGATTCTTCTAATTTAGCACCAAAGTTCTTTAATCGTCTCAAGGAAGATTGAATCTGCCTTAACTTGGTTGTCAAATCCTCTTCTTCGGCTTCTGAAGAAAGAAATTTCTTACTTTTAACCATTTCCTTCAGCAGTAGATTCTTGTACCTTGTACAAAGTCCTTTCAAGTATGAGGTTGACATCTTCTTCTTTTCCGTGATAACTTCTTGATTTCAGGCTCCAATTCCCGGGTTCCGGCACCAAACAATGTGGCAAATCACAATCACACGGAAATCTTCTTTTATAATTTATTATGACGATTAAAGGCAAATAACAAATCCACAAGGGTTAACAATCACAATACCACATTGGCTAAGATAATGAGATGGATTCTGATATGTACTCAGTCTTTCTCTATCAAAACTCAATGTAAACTCAATCAACTGAATAATAATTAAGATCACAAAAACTCTCATATATATAGTATTGAAGAAACATCAGGAAATAGAAACTTCTATAAAATTCTAGGTCATCACATTCTGACATATTCTAGAGACTTCTTGATAATTCATTCTCGTAACATAAAGAACATTCTAGATTATAAATGTACATCATCAAAATTCTAGAAGATACATTAAAATTGCGACAGTTCGCAACAACTTTATCACCATCAAATTGTAATTCTCTGCATGGCTCTATAAGGCTTCATCAAGCTGATAAGTCAAAATGTGCTGAACTTTGAAAAAGAAATAACATAAAAATCAAATTACATTATCAGTTTGTATCTAACTGTATGTTTGAAAAATAAAATATTGTGCATTCTATAATATATAAGATGATAAAACAAGTGTAACAAGAGGCCCAGGGGCCACAGCACTCACCTGAGCACATCAGCTAGGAAAAAGCACAAATCAGATCAGAACTGAGTTTACTGAGGGGGAGGGGGGGCTTAAAATTATAACCCCCCAGAGGGTCATGATTTGAGCAAACTAGAATCTACACTACCTGAGGATGATTCCATATAAATATCACTAATCATGGCTTTGAAGTACTTGAAAAAGAAGATTTTAAAAGGTTTCCCTATATATCCCTAAGTAAAATTTTGGTCGGCCATTTTGGCCCCACCCTAGCCCTGGGGGGTCATGATTTGAACAAACTTGCATCTACACTACCTGAGGATGATTACACATGAGTTTCATCTTTCCTGGCCCAGTGGTTCTTGAGAAGAAGATTTTTAAAGATTTTACCTTTATATTCCTATGTTAAACTTTGGTCGGCCATTTTGGCCCCATCCTAGCCCCGGGGGTCATGATTTGAACAAACTTGAATCTACACTACCTGAGGATGATTCCACATGAGTTTCATCTTTCCTAGCCCAGTAGTTCTTGAGAAGAAGATTTTTAAAGAGTTTTCCTATATATTCCTATGTTAAACTTTGGTCGGCCATTTTGGCCCCACCCTAGCCCCTGGGGTCATGATTTGAACAAACTTGAATCTCCACTACCTGAGGATGATTCCACACGAGTTTCATCTTTCCTGGCCCAGTGGTTCTTGAGAAGAAGATTTTTAAAGAGTTTTCCTATATATTCCTATGTAAAACTTTGGTCGGCCATTTTGGCCCCATCCTAGCCCCGGGGGTCATGATTTGAACAAACTTGAATCTACACTACCTGAGGATGATTCCACGAGTTTCATCTTTCCTGGCCCAGTGGTTCTTGAGAAGAAGATTTTTAAAGATTTTTCCTATATATTCCTATGTAAAACTTTGGTCGGCCATATTGGCCCCATCCTAGCCCCGGGGGTCATGATTTGAACAAACTTGCACCTACACTACCTGAGGATGATTCCACATGAGTTTCATCTTTCCAGGTCCTGTGGTTCTTGAGAAGAAGATTTTTTAACAATGCCATTAATTTTTCTCTAATTCATAATTATCTCCCCTTGGAAAAGGGCTTGGCCCTTCATTTGAACAAACTTGAATCCCCTTTACCCAAGGATACTTTGTGGCAAGTTTCGTTGAAATTGGCCCAGTGGTTCTTGAGAAGAAGATGAAAATGTGAAAAGTTAACGACAACAACGAGGACGACAACGACAACAACGACGACGACGACAGACAACGGACAAATTTTGATCAGAAAAGCTCACTTGAGCCTTTGGCTCAGGTGAGCTAAAAACGATCATACTAGTATGTTGAAAATCACAAGCAAATATTAAGTGCATGCACTTCATTCATCAAACTATAAAATTCTTGTATCATGCTATATAGAGTGCCTAGAAAACAGTATCAAATAGGTTCATCTCCATACATGTATACATCACCAATCTCACACTTAACATCAAGGGTTTAAGGGTCATCACCCCACTATTCATTCTTATTAAAATAAAATGCTTTAACAGACAATGAAGGTTTTCAAAAAAAATTGCTATTTTAAGTGAAAACACACAATTTCAGCACACTTCTTAAACTGCCTTTCAACTTCAGGAAATTGAGCTGCACTTTTGAGAATTATTTTGTATTTAAAATGTGTTGTTTCTGATTAATAATTCGTATTAAATTAAAAATCTTTAAATTCATTTATGCTAAAAAGGTATTGAATTGTTTTAGAAGAAAGGCCTCTGTATAATCAAATACTAGTAACTGGTATATAGTATTATATAAGAATTCAAATTGTAGAAAATGACAATACTGTAATTTTGCTCTTTTTAAAAATGATAAATATTTCTCCCATTGCATATAAGAACAACAGATGTACAATTATAATGAAACTGATATGCTTATAAGTATGAACAATGCAAAAAAAAATTACTTTCTGTTTCAGTGACGTAGCATCCTTTTTGAGAAAAGGGGGTGGGTGGGGGTGGTCAGCTTACCATATATCTGAAAAAACCTGACTAACCAAAAAACGGGGGGGGGGGGGGGGAGGAAAACTTCATTCAATACTTTATGAAATAAAAAGGAAATAAAAAATCACACGAAATACTGAATTTCATTAAGGCCTGGGTCAAAAATATTGATGTCACGATTCTTTGTAATTCACTTCAAGGTCAACGCCAGCATCAGTTTTCCCGAGATGAGTTATAATGTTCAAAAATTGTTTGCAGCGCAGGCATTGAGCTCTGACCCTAAAGCCGCGTTGAGAATCGTTTACCAGCAGCGAGTAAGGACCATTCCTTGGTACTTTCCATAACAAAGCTGATGACCAAGCCCATGTCCCCAGCGTGAATGGCATTGTTGATGTTGAACTTGGGAAGTGTTTCTTTTGAAAGTAAAAGGTAAACTTGACTTCTGGGGAATGAAGGACTACCTCATGCTTTCCCTCGTTTGTATGCCTTTCAGGCTTATGTCCATTTTCTTTTAGCACTGTATTATGCTCGAGAAGAAATTTAAGAGATGCGTTTTTCTTTACAGTGATCTTTTCATTCATTTCTTTTGGATATTCGTGCTTCAAAAATTTGTTTGAGTCAAAAATAAGACTTTTGCAGTTTTCTTGCCTAATGTAATTGTGCTGAACTATCACACCTTGTTTGGTGTATATTTTTACTTTGTCAGGCAATGGGATTGTTAAAACCAAATGTTCCTCTTTCTGTTCTACTCTAGAAACCTTCAGGTTCTCCGAGTGTCCTTGTAATATGACGTTGTAGTCATTTGCATTTCTTAATTTATAACTATTGGGGGTATCCACATCTTTGTTGTAATTATTGATTGCCAAGGTAACCATTAATATATTTTTGTTTTTGTCATGAACAGATGGTGCTGTTACATTCAAGTCCAGGATGACCAGTGACTTCTTTAATCCTTGAAATTCAAACTCCTCTAGAAGCTGTTCAGCTAGCTGTCCAGGGTTCACATTTTCCTTGGAGATATTGTACATCAGTGTTTTATTCTTCAGTGTGAAGCCCGTTTTTCGTGTAGAAGTAACGAAGTAGAAGTCATCCACCTCCTCAGGAACAACTGTCATAAAGCTTTTGATGCTGGAACAAATTGAAGAAACAGCGAATATCATATCTCCGAGATGAAGCATAACTTTATCATAGGATGGACGAATAATAGGCTTTGGCCTTTCCTTCTGTTCCTCAACTTCAACTGAAGGTTTTTGTTTCGACCTTTTGCACCCCAAAAGTGATTTTATTTTTATTTCAGCAAGCTGAGCACTTGCAGAATACAAAAGTTCTGAGAATTTGGTTATTTTCACTTTTTGCCTGAAAATGATTTCAAGAATATTGCCACTGAGAATCCGAATCATTACACCAGGTTTCTTCTCGTCCAGTATTGTTCTTTCTACATCTTCATCATCCTTTGTATTAATATTTTCTCTCATTGCAATTCGAAGACCTGACACACCAGTGAACATGGAGTGCATTTCCAACAAAATTCTCTGAGAAACAATGCATTCTGGTATCGCTGCGAAAATTTCCTGGAACGAGTCCACTACAGCATTTATACAATCCGCAAATAATTGGTGGCAACCAGGGTCTTTCTTGAAAACAAAGCTCCTCCATTGTATATCTATGTTTTCAATGTTTATCATTTTTTTGATTTCTTGCTTCACTCGCACATGTAACTGAAATGTTTCAATCGAGGGTAAATCAACTTCTGTTATATTATCCATCAGTTTATCATAGAGAAAATCCAAATATCCAGTCTCTAAAGCATGTGCAGTATCTTGTGATATCACAACGCGCAAAGGCAATTCCTGAATGCATTTCTTGTAAAAGTCAGAATCGGAAAATGTATAAATATTTCCTTGATGTAAAACGACAAAATGTTTAAAATCAGCTTGATTTTTCTCTGTTATGATTTCATGCTTCCATACTTCAGGGTGTTCTATGACCTTTGTCGATTCAGTTATCATTTCAAAACATTCCTTTTCAAGAAAAGGCAGTTTCACGTACTTTGGCCTTTCAAGAGCTGACAGCAACTCTTTCTCTGCAAGCTTCTTTGTTAATACAAGTTGTCCTGACTTCCCTTTATTTTGCTTAATTTTCACCCAAACTCCGGATAAACCCTGCTCTACTGGATTCTGTTTTATGACTGGATACTTCTGGGACAAAAGAAGGTCATGTAAGATTCGAATATATACATTTTTATATTCTGTATAGGAAGCTTCCAAAGAGCGTCTAAGCAAATCATGTGGGTGACTCAATTCGCGTCTAAACTTCAAAAGACATGCTGGTATTAATCGCTTTTCATCTGCCTGAAAAGTAATGGCTATTCCAACTTTCTTTTTGACTTCATCTTGAACGTTGATAATGATTTGATTGAGTTTATCACTGCTCTCCGCAGGCCATCCCACCAATAGCTGTTTGTCCTCGGCGTCTGATAATCTAGAGAACGAGTTGCTTCTTTCTACAATCCATTCTTTATTGTCTGTCTCATTGCAACAGACAAAAACAGTCGCTGTGTCCTCTTGGATAGAGACCCCCGTGTGTTGCAGGGATATGGTGTTCTTCAGGAGCAATCTTTTCGAAGTGTATTTTAACCTTAGCATTGATTTGCAATCATAAGCGATGGCTATAAGTTCCCTGCCGACGTCACGACACATAAGCGTTCTCAAAATTGACAAGTCATTTATTCCAAAGGATTGTAAGTCTACTTCGAATGTGACAGGTTCTATGCAGCGCTTTGTGCTATTTGCATTCTCATTGTCTTCTGTGCCATTGATCTTGGAGATACAGTAGACTGAATGACATAGCGATCCACAGACGGAGCGATACATCGTAAGATTTTGCCACAACGGAAATTGCGATCTGTCATAGTAAAGGCGAGATCTTGTTATCGTGAATTTCCAGTTCACCTTACTATTGACATGGTTTTGTCCACTCATGAATCCAGTTTGCTCCGAAGTCATCTTATCCTCAAGTGAGACTATGATTTCTGTAATGTTCGAAAAATCGCGAAGGACGTTTTCTGCCGTCTCCTTATCAAACATGGATTCGATATCGTTTTTCATATCCCTACACTCATTCAATGTATCCTCTAACCCTCCTAACCTATTGCCGTAAATATCGCCGTTTAAGGATTTCATGACAACTTCTGTATTGTAAGTCCTTCTTCTAAGCTCGATGGAATTCCAGTCCACCTTTACTTTTATCTTAAGTCTGAATTCTTTCTGCATCTGATAAAATGAAAACACCATGAAAACTTCCTTTTTAAAAATAAGTACTAATATTGCCAAAGTACATACTTTACAGTATAAATATACAAAGAAAGTACATCTATATATACTTACAAACTCTTCAAAGTATGGAATAACATTCTCCTGTACATCTTCTTTAAGGTGAATTTCCTCCTGTCGTTGACAGCAGCTTTTGTCTAATCTGACAAAGAGGGATCCTTTGTCCATGGATACACGAATCTGGTTCAAAACGGCTCCCGTGTTATCCATAGTGACTTTTGGATGGTCTGTTGTTCCACTTGTGAGGCATACTACTTTAACTGACTTCACAGGGGTAGATTTCGTAGCTTCATTTATTTTTATTTCCTCAATATGATCGAGAACGATACTGGATGTTAGGAAACACTGAATCCAAACGTCAGATAAATTTCCAAAATCTGCAATTTTGCGAAAGCTGTCAAAGTCTACAGTGTATTTTAGGTTGGAAAACTCTGTAGCAATGATGTTTTCTTTGGTACACTTGGTCTCTAATTCCTTTCTGATCGATTCTGGAAATTTTACTGATTGTACCAGCCATAAATCAGATTTAAGTATCCTGGGATCATGTCTCTCTGGTGACAGTTCAAACCTTGGCCATTGTTTACCTCCAAGGTTGTCCAATTCTGATAACCAAAGTTGTTTTTGGGGTAAAGTGGACTGGATTTCTTTAAAAGTCGAAAAGTCGTCCTCTTGACAGTTCAGTGCTTTCTTGAGATGCACAAGAAGGTCTAATCTGGAGAGACCAATAACAGCCTCAAAAATAGATGTGCCATAATTTTTCTTCATTGTATTGTTTAAACCACTGGCAAGATCAAGCAATGCCACAAATACCTTTTCATTATTAGCAGTAATTGACATAGCTAGTATATTTTCAAGAATAGTGTTACTGTTTTGGAAGTCCTCCAGGGTTTTTTCTATTCCCTCCATGGATATCATTTTTTCAATTCCTTCCTTCCTGGTCACCAGTCTAATTAAAGAGGTCATTGTTGCATTATACCCACTTGATACCATAATAGCAGAAATTATTGGATTATCCGACCTGTACTTTCCTAATTTCCAGAAGTATTCCGTTAGTAATGGAGGAGGAAGAGCATTGTTTTCTGACCTCATTGATTGTATGTCCTTATCAAGTGGACTTCTGTTGTATATTTTTGACCAACCAATACATTTATTTAACAAACAATTGTGGCACGTCATATCAGGATCATCGTCCGTGTGACCAGCGTGAGAGTCACCCCAGGGGTTGAGCAAGGCATCTGATTTAAGTAGGGAATAGTAATCTTGAAGACCAAGAGCACTCATATACATCACTGGAGTAAATCCGTAAATGTCCTTTCCCTCGCAAAGCCTTCCAACTGTCTTTGAACTAACTAGTTCAATCATTTCTGGATCTTCTGTGTGAATGGCAAGATGGAGAATATTTTCTGCTGATTTTGTTGATTTCCAGCTCAATCCGTCATCATACTGAAAGATGTATTCTGCAATTTCTAACTGAGCATTAGACACAGCAACAGCTAAAGGACACATATCACCAACCTTAAGTTTAAGGACTTGGCGACGATTTTCAGCTTCCTCAACAAAATAGGCCATTAATGCATGAAAAGCCTTCTTGCATCCATATTTTATTGAATCGTGTAGAAGAAATCCATATGTTGTAGGATTTTCTAAGATCAGTTTTGGGATATGTTTGGAACACGACACAACAGCAGCCGCTGCATTATCATCCCCCTTCTTATAAAGACTGGTTAGATCTAGTTGCCTCGATTTGGGAAGATAAGGTCTAATGTCAACATCTGACATAATTGTACTGCTTGAGTTTACCTTGCTCATGAAAAAATGAAACCAGCCATACGTTTCCACCCTGTCGATATTTTCTTTTGAATGCATAAATTTCGTTTCATTGAACAATTGAACGACTTCGATATTTCCAAGCAGCACAGCGTAGTCTATTGGTCTCATACCATCCGAATCGCTGACATCAAAGCCCCTAGTTGTCTTATCCAGAACAAACTGAGCAACACGTTTCATGTTGTAAATTCCGCAATAATGTAAAGCATGTTTATTTCTTTTGTCTACACACAAAACGTCCACATCTTTGAAGTTTGTCAGAATTTGTGCACAGAAATCCTCTTGCCCTTTTGAAGCTGCCCCTATGAAAAATCTCTCCCAAGTCTGCTTTGTGGGCCGTCCATGTTTTGAAAAAATTTCAGTAAAATACTTCATAATTGGCCAATCTCCAGTAGAGGCAGCTAGCTCAAAATAGGATTCAGGTTTGGCAGCCTTCATAAATTCACGATCGTATTTGCAAAACTTGATCACGGTGTCCACAGTTTCGGGTCGCTTGCTTCGGATGGCATATTCAATAACATCGAAATTCTTCACGTAAATCTTATCGAGAAGATCCACAAACATTGGGTTTTCAGTATCGAACCTGATTGGTACACTTTTCCTGAAAAGATATTTAACAATGTCTGTTTGACCATAGAATGCAGCCTTGCATAAAAGTGCTGCAAAGCTGGCCTGAACTGTTTCGGGAAGTTTTGATATTGAAATGTTATCGAGGATAGACTTCAAAAAGTCCAATTGTCCTTCTCTAACAGCTTGCGCTAAAGAAAGCTGCCAACACACCTTTAGCTCTTTTTCTCTTGGAATCACTTTGGAAGCTACAATCCTTAGAAAAGTCCAAAGACTTTTATTGCAGGCAAAATGAATTGTTGTCTCTTGTAAAATCAATCCAAACTGATCAGCAAGAGCAGAAACTTCATCACTTATGTCTTGCTGATGAAGAAAAACTGCATCTGATCTACCATAGTCTTTAGGTAGAGAAATGACAATGCAATCCAGGATGTTTAAGTTCCAAAGAAGTTGTTTTCTCAGTAGCTTGGACAAATACTTGTTAGTTTTACTTGCAGCAATCAGCGAGGAAATCACCCAAGGTTGAGTAGTAGATAACAACAATAGAATGTCATTTTCATCTATTCTAGTATTTGCATCCACTGTTTTAAGAAAGTTCGTAAGAATTATCTCAAGTTGTGGATTTTTCTCTGAAGTTTGCTGGGCTATGAAATGAAGTTTTTCTTTCAAATAATTTTGTATCTTGCCGTATATGTACTGAACTTTTGTTTTCAATTGATCAATTAGGTTTTTTTCTACTCCCTGTTCTGATAGATTTTCACAAAGTTTTGTTAAAAAGTCAGCAAATTTAAAGCCTTCGTGTTTGTAACTGAATCCATGGTATTTCGGTACTGTTTGGTATCGCAAGAGTGGTGTTTTGCCAGATGTTAATGTATTGTCATACACAAAACCAAGTAGACTGAAAAGAAAGTGAAATACATTTCTTTGAACGGTTTCAGTTCTGAGGGCCTGCCAAACAATGGAATGAAATGTTTGGTTATCACTGAGATGGATGCTATTTTTATGGTAGATATCACAAATAGACCTTTGGTTTCCCAAAATTGCGCATCTGTAGCCCATATTCATGTAATCATCATTGACTTTTAATTTGTTCTCTGATATGCTAAGAATTTCCTCAAAAAGCTTTAAATCTCCAACGCCTGAAGCAAAGTGAATCAAAGAAAACCCTGAGGTCCTGGATAAATGTGCTTTTTTGAAGAGATATTCAGTCATCTTTTGTTCTTTGTTTATTAGTATGGCTCGATAATTTGGTTGACAAACTGCTTTTTTAGTGCCTGACTTCTCTATCTGTTGTTGATCATTTTTAGATTCTAAAATTGAGCTTTTCATTCCATTTAGGAGAACTCCGACACTGCTATCTTTATTATCGGTCAATTTGACCTTCCTTCGTGCACTCATTTTAATGCCATGTTTTGAGATTAAAGAATGCGAATCTTCACATTCATGGAAACATACATCATTGATTTCAGCAGGTTTGGGCCTCTTTATGAAACACCCTGGTACCGCGCGCTGCAAAATAGGATTAGCGCCATTAAGAAGGAAAAGTCTTGCAATTTTCCAGTGCTTGTGCGCTAAAGCATACCACAGAGGAGATGCGCCAGCATAATCTGCTTTGTTCAGTGGAAATCCAGGCAGATTCTCCCTGTGAACAACCTCAGAAAGTATTCGGGCAATTGTTTCCCAGCCAAATATAGCAACAAAGTGAAAGATAGATCTTCCATGTTTATCCACTTCTTCAACGGCCTCCTCCCATTGCTCCTGGTCTAGGATCCTGTAAAATGTTCTAGTAAGAGTCTCTGTAAGATGCACTTTTAGGCTTACAGCAGTCTGAAGTAGCAGTTGTCCCAGAGTTTTTGTTTCAAGCTTACCAAAATGACTTATCAGGGCGGTGTACACATGCGCAACTGTCCCTTCTTTGCACTTCTGCAGCTGTGCAACAATGTCTCTGAAAATATATTGGCTAGTTTAAGAATGCAAAGACTTTAATAAAAATGTTACAATCGACCAGAGGCATTATATTTCTGCTATATTTTGCACATTTTTTTCTTCAGGAAATACATTCCATCTCTCTTTTTCAGATTGAAAATAGGAAAATATTTAGGGTATTTTGTCATTCATTTTTTTCAGCTAAAAGCTTCTTTTTGTAAAAGACATTTGTACAAAAGCAAATTTTATTGAGATTAAAATAATTGTAGCACAGTCCTATAAATCATTTTAAAAAATACTTTCATAGTTTATTATAGTATGGTGTTTCAATGTAAATTCCATAATTGTTTATATGAAGAGAGTAGTCCAAAAAATGCGAATTATTTGAATTAATATGGGAAGTCATGTTTTTATAGACAAACCTCGGTGACAGAAAAAATAAATTCAAGTTTTATTATTTGTAGAGGATACACTATTATTGCAATTATTTTTTACGGAAAAGTATTACGTGCTTTGGTGTTGTAATACGGCAATATTTCAGAGAAAATCCCAAATGTACATACGTGTTGGAGTTCAGCGCCCTCACAAGCAGAGATGGGTTGGTATCGACTAGATAAAGCACTATCTCATCTAGATGACAATCAATAGCATTGTAGAGAGGACCACCGATCTCTTGGCTGAAGAAATTCAAGTCAATCTTGTTTCTGCATTAAAATAGATTGTTCAAGTTTTAGGTTTCTTATTTTGCTCCATCATCAATACTATTACCTCTAATTATTGTGTATACATACCGTTCATACAAATCCATCAATATTTTTTTCTTTGCTTTAGGTGAGGGTTTCTCACTCGAACATAGATAGCGAATCTTCCTTGTCCAAATTTCTACTTGTTTGAATCGTTCATCTGAGCAACAGGCAACGATAGTGTCTACGGTAAATTTGGCATTATGTCCAACCAGAAGTTTGTAGATATCCCATGATCCATAAATTACAGCTAGGTCTAAAGCTCTTACACCGTTACTGGTCTTGGCGTCAACATTCACCGCGAGAGGTGCCTGACAAATACAATTATCAGATTTTAATTAACTTTAATTGAACGCGTTTTTCTAGTAAAAATTCAATTTTTATCCTTGCGAAAGTATCTATACCTGTAAAATCATTTTGACGAATTCAACGTTTCCTGTGCAGGATCCCAAATGAAGTAGTGTAGTACCGGGTGGAAAATTTATATTGTTAGGCTGATCTGAGAGATTCATCATAACTGTAGTATCTCGTAATATTCTGATCTCCTCTTCAGAAACCACTTTTTCGAACAGCCCTTTCATGTCATATTTACTGAAAGTGGTCACAACTCTCGGGGCTAACTTAAGTAATCGAATGATCTCAAAGTTTTTGATTTTTTTTCGTCGTTTCCTTAGGTACATTTCATCCACAAATTGCCCCCCGGTAGTAATTTCTACCACGCATCTTATAATCTTTTCCAGTGGACTTTTGCACTCGGCAAGACAGTACAACCTATTGGATACTTCAAATTCTTTTGTCAGTATTTCAGTTGTCTTCATTCCCTCTATCTCCCTACCTGTCTGTATCAAACTCTGCAAAATATTTTCCGGGACTTGTTTTAGGCACGCGTAAGCTAGGACATACTTGATGTACTCTAACTTAACATTTTTCCTTGTCACAAAAATTTGATCGCCAAGTTCTGTTTAACTGTTTTTGGATTTGACATTTATTTGAGGAAAGTGCACAGTGCCATAGAAGATGCCCTTCTCTCTGTAGCATCAGGACTGCAGAATAAAAGTGGCCGGATTCTAAAGCAAGAATAAACGCTTCACATATGCCATGCACATATAAATCGGAAGAATCCTCGAAGTTTTTAAATTTTCCCAGTGGAACACCGGACTTGATAAGAAAACAACCCATTTTATCGAAAATCGATTTGTCCCTTGACCTCAATCCTCTGAAGCGAAACCTGTGACTGGAAGATAAAATTTTTGCTAAAGTTGTTTTTTCCGACATCCAACAGAGTTTCATGCTCCACCAGAGATAAGGTCTTAATTTTGACAAATCGTCTTGTGACAGATCGTCTTCTGGCAGATCGTCTGCTGAGAGGTCGTCTCTTGGCAGACCGTCACACATAAAAATATCTCGAGATTTTAAGACATCTGGGTGATATTTTATTAAAGTCTCAAAAACGTCCTCACTGATGTAAGGAGATCGACATGCTATGTCAAGGATGTACATATTTTCTATTTCTTGCATTTCTTTGCTTATTTCACGTTTATGTTTCTTCTTCAATATGGCATCGATGAACCGAGATTGGCCATAATATACTGCTAGGTGTAAAGCAATTCCCAAATCATCATCTTTTGTTTTTTCGAGTATAACCTTGAAAAGCGGAAAATTTTGCAGGATAACAGCAGCTTCAACTGGTAAAAAGCTCTTTAGATTACAGTTATAACCACAGTTTAATTCTAAACACCAAGTTTCTGAAATCAAAATTTTATAATATCGCCTTTTTTCACATAGTTCATGGATAACATCTACGGGTTCTGGGATGTCACTTGCAATCATTACTGACTGCATGAAGTGTTCCAACACTTTTTGCATAACTGCTATTTTTTCATTCTTTGAAACCATCATCAAACGATACAGAAAGTCAGCTTTAGGTTTTACAACGTCAATTACCGACTTAATGATCTTAAAGGAATACTGTTGAATTGCAAAGTCTATAAGAGACCTTTCGAAATTATCAGTATCCTTCAAAAGGTTTGGGAAATTCTGAGTTAGTTTCTTCATTGTTGTTATTCTTCCAGTTTTAAGAGCACATTCCAGTGGCGTATTGAAAGCTACTTTTTCATGACACTTGTACTCAAAAGCCCTTAATTCTACATAGCTTTCTTTACTTTCGGCGTTTTCCTCCTCACAAGGATGCTTTGAGTTACTTTTAATAATATCCCCACATTTTTGACATTTTTGGTATCGCTTAGTTGGACTACTGATCAACTCAGATACTTTGGAATGAAGTGACCAGAGTTTGTTCCATGTTTTCTCTTTTTCATCATCGTATTGGAATGGACCTTCCCTCTTACTAAATTCTCGAAAAGGACGATCAAATCTGCAAAAATTTGTAAAGTTCATCGATTCATTCCACACGATGTTCCTTTCTTTTTGCTTCTGAACTATATTTTCTCGTTTTTTCTGATAAATCTGTTCTGTTTCTGTTTTGAATTGTTGTATGACGACGTCTTCTAGATCTTCATCAATTAATGGCAAATAATGAAGTATGTTTTGACCCAACTTGTCGACAGCCTTCAAATTGCACCGACTGGCATATTTCTGAAGAAGGACTCTGACCACCCTCTGTCGATTTCTGTAAATGGCAGTCATCAATGGAGTTTTTCCGCTGTCATCCTGTATGCTAACATCCACGTGATCTGAATGCAGTAACATATTTACTATGGTTTCGTGTCCTTTTTCACAGGCATAGTGCAAAGGCGTGGCACCACGCCAGTCTGTGGGATTTGGATTTACACCCGCTTCCAAAAGCACTTTTACACATTCACTATGATTGTTCTGACAAGCTTCATGCAAAGGTGTTCTGTTCATTTCATCTGATAAGTCAAATGGTATTCCTAGGGATTTCAGAAGAACCAGTATTTTATGAAGGCCAAGAGATGCGGATTCAAACACATACCTTTCAGATGCTGCATTTTGGCAACTCAGTAAAGGCAATAATTGCTCTGCCACAGATTCAACATATCTGCATCTTTTGAATCCTTTCCGATATCCCTCAAATGCTTTCTTTAATGATTGCATGATCATGCATACTGTCGATTCATAAAGTGCAAGATTACTTCGAATCTTAAAGATAGCAAAACATACCCCATAGTGACAATTTTTTAGAGCTTTTTGGATGCCTTTATTCAAATCACTTTCCTGAAAACTCTTATCATAGAGTAAGTGCACTTGTTCCACTTTTCCATATTGACAAGCTAAATGAAAAGGTAGGTCACCCTCTATATTTTTCTTATACTTTGGAAAACGCTTTTTCAATAAAAGCTGTGTAAGCTCTGGACTCAATGTGGATGACAAATGTAGCAGGGAACAGTCGATCTCATCCAGTCTTTTATCTTCTTCGTCATAATCAGGAAGCAACGCTAATAGCCGAAGAGCATGTTTTTCTTTTTTCAACACAAGCATAATATAACACAAGTAAAACTGAAGGTGTTTACTGAGAGATAGGGGTTCTATTTTAGAAGCGATATACTCTATATCAGCATCACTCTGAAAAAGGAGCAGATCAATGCAGTCGTTTCCTAAGTTATCATCGTCAAGGACTTCTGAGTTCAGCTGGAGAAGGTATACTGCTACTTCTCTTCTTCTTCTGTATAGAGCACAGTGTAATGGGGATTTATTATTCATGTCTTTGGTAAATATCTGGTCTCTCCCTATGCCATTAATGAGAATTTCACATGCATCCAATTTTCCATTTTCAGCGGCATAATGAAGTGGTGTTGCATTTCGTTCATCACAAATGTCGCATATTTTAGGCGTGTATGGAAGTTTCTGAAGAGCCTGCTCCAATTTCTTTATGTTTCCACATGCAGCATGTATATGAAGGGATGTTGCTTTTAGCTCTAAAAGACAGAAAGGGGTCATTTTGTATTTTAAAGATACTATTGATAAATGATATAATCAATCGATTTCTGGTTATTTAAATTATGATATATTACCCAAGAGTTTTGGTTTCCAGGACATGATATCGGTTGGTATGAAGGAAAATCCCTCCAAAAGGTTTTCACACAGCTGTTGATGCAGTTCTTGTGGAGGCCAGTGGCTGACTTTACTCCGCTCGTACAGAAAAATCACACAGGCGCACATTACAATGTAGCGCTTTCCCTCATACGAGTGCGCAACCTTCAAATGCAAATTTGGAGCATGAATTTAAAATAGAGTAACAAATAGCTTAAAATTCAATTTTTATGTCATACCCTTTTGTACTCTGCATCCAGGTATCTAAATTTTTATGTCATACCCTTTTGTACTCTACATCCGGGTATCTAAATTTTTCCTTCGGGAGTTGCCATTTTTGATTGGACCTGCCGGTATCAGTTTGTCTCATCTGAGGAATTTTAGGAAGAATGTCAAAAACGGTAGTCGTCTTTTCGTCTGATTTCAGGATTTCTTTCGTCTTACACAAGAAAATGAACCCCCTTTCGAAGTATTCTTCGAAGTAATGTTGAATACTGCGACGGACCTGCGACAGATTATCTTTGGAATTCACGGAGATGTAGTGGTGTGTGAAGGTTTGCTGGGTTCTGCTGACAGCTTGGAACTTGACCAGGAGGTCCCCGGCTTTGTCCCTCGGGGTGATCGGGCGGGAAGAGAACGAGTACAACCCGTCCTCGCCATACCCTGGCGCCTTGTCGATTACTCTGTAAATAATATCATCAACTCAACCTCTTGGCAACTATGTGATCAGTGATAAAAAATACAACCTTTTATATTCATGTAGATATGTCATTTTGACCAGGCACTGTCTTTAGGGTTATTATGTAATTCTTTTTTATAATTTGAGAGTGCAATCGCATGATAAGTTTATGAAGCCTCTTTACAAAGATTTATCGCTTAAATAATTTGATCCATATGCATTTAGTACTGTATTGACATTTTGATGTTTATCGTTCATTTTGAACGTTGACACCTAAGTGTTAAGATCCTTCCGGAAAAAAAAATGAGTAGGCTTACTGTTATCAAAGCTAGAAACAATATAAAATTATCAAAGGATACCTACTATTAATGTGCATTGTTAGGTTAAAAAACTAAATAACGATCGACACGTACCCCATTTCACATAAATCTGCTTTCTATCCTATACCCATATCTGTCTTTCCCGTTCACTGTTGTACTGACCAAAAATACCTCACTGCGCAGAATCGGCGTCCTCGTTGCCAAGATCAATTTTAGCCTGTTCGTACAACAAAAATGATAATAATTTGATATCTATACTTCAATCTTCTATTTCGGCCATTATTGATCGACTCTGTACACAGAACTCTATTTAACTAACGTACATTCTGTATATTATTTACTTAAACGCTTCCCCGTCCTTACATTTAATTCTTTAGTGTCTTATACTTGTGTGCATTCTATTCATCCGGTAAATCGTTGTTTGTTCGGCAAAACACATCCGTGGGTTCATCTATAGAAGCATTTAAATGGAAGGTTGATATCAACTATTTTTTATGAGCGGTTCATTATGCACATATGACTTAGTTTATAGACAAGGTGACACTTCGTGTCAAAAGCATTTAAAATGTGCTCTTTAATCAGAGACTAATTTATTTCATTTTAGATATTCTAACAACCTTTTGTATGTATATGTTCTTTTTGGTCAAAGTAAAAAACAAGAAGGCTTTAAATCTTGTGATAGAAATGATTTCTTGTCTGCTAGACGTAGGCAGATCCTCAAGGCCGTTAGATTGATTGTGGAGTAGTGTCAATAGTTTCACCACAGACCACATCGAGGTATTCAGCATGACTACTGGCCCTACTTCATATTAAAACATCTAAACGTTTGAGAGATATTTTAACATGAAAGGTAAGTGGAGTACTCTCTCGTGATATTTTCCAATTATTCGTTTAAAATTCTTTAAATATCTGTGTCTAATATTTGTTTTGCACTGCTTACAGATTAAGTTGTGAAAATCAATGCCTTATTTTTTTTTGTTCCACAGAGCTTGTTTAAAAACAGCTGAATATCTGTCCAAGATATATAACCTCACCTGGACTTGGTAAGTATAAACGAGGGTCCCGTAAGTCATGTCGAGTTTACATCCAAATCGAAAGCTGTCAAATGGAAATATTTATAACTGAATTCAGTTGCAAACGACGTCAAAAACACAATTTTATCAAATGTTGAACCGATAAGAGGAATAAGATTAATAATTAAAGCAACACAATGGTTCGTAAATATACATAAGGTAGAGAGCATCATACTCCCGATTAGTTTTTGCTGCAAAAGTCTAGACCTCGGGGGTGTTCTGATACTATAGTACGGACTTCCTTAATAATGAAGCGTTTTAAATTTTCAGTCTCCTTGAACAAAAGTAGAAGACGCAGACCCAGCAGATACGAGATGACTTTGAAGGAAAGACAACTCTTGGAGGCGGTGGATAAAGGCCACACCAAGATGATAGAGATTCTGATCTCGCAGGGCGCAAGCGTCAACTGCCGAGCTTCACTCGCCGCCAATAATGAAGTTGGGGAACATTGTAAAATTTTTTGTCCGGGAATGATCTTGTAAACTGTTCCTGTAGGTAAAACCTTTTTAGGGTTAAACATGTTATGTAGAAACGTGCACGTGCAACACGTGAAATGACCAATATAATAGATATAGCCACAACTGTTCTATTTTTAGATGAAATGCTTTGAAACTCATAATGTGAGGATATATTAGTAGTATAGACTTGGTGAAAATAGAAAGACGCGCATGCACGTGCACTTCGCTCTGATTGGCTGCAACTAAAGTCTCAATATCTTTCTTGTTTTTTGATTTGAAATTTTGAACATAGCCACATTAGGATATCCAAAGATGAAATAAAGCAATTATTATGAAAACACGTGCATCTCTCAATCTGATTGGCTGAAACTTTAAACAGCTATAACTCCCTTGGTTTTCGACCAAACAGGATGGGATTTGGAACATGCAGATATAATGGACTTCTACAAGCAAGTATGGTCACCATGCACATGCATGCACGTGCGTGTACATGTGCTGCATCTTTGGCTTTTAAACAGCTATTTTTTGTCAAAAGTAAATGTAATGGACTTCTACAAGAATGTATGGTCACCATGCTCATGTTTACACGTGCGTGTACGTGAAATGAGTAAAATCAAACATACACTTGAATGAAAAAAAAATAATTTAATAACTTCTTTGTAGAGAGAATAGAGTTTGTCTTATTTAATGAAGCTTACAGGGAATATGGCTCCAAAAGGGAGTTGGGGAGCGTTTGGGGAAATTCGGTATCCGTTTTATCTTTTACTTTTTTTGTCAAAAGTGATACATTGTAAACAAACAATCCACTTTTAATGAAGAAAAAAAGTAAAAACTTACTAGAGAGAGGATGTTAGCAATACGGTTGCAATTTAAAAATTCACGTTTTATTTTAATGAAGCTTTGTTACAACACGAAATGTAACAACAACACAATATATCGTAAATCAGGCTAATTACATTTTGCGTAATTACATATATTTTACATTAACATATATTAACGGAAAATGTATGTCAATCCCAATTTATTATTTTTCGCGTTGTTATTACATTTGCATCGTTACAAAACCTACAACAATTATATAGCATGACTAGATTAAAAAAAAAAATGAACTGAAATAAAATAAACATTCTATATTTTTTTCTATAATTTCAAGGATGACGGTGCCACACCTTTGATTAAAGCAGCTAAAAATAGAAATCACGTGGTTCAAAAAATACTCTTACAAAAAGGAGCAGATATTACTGCAAGGGATGAGGTAAGAAGAGAAACACATTTCGAACACTCCTGGTCCGGCATTTTCTACCGGAATACCCAACAATATTTACATTTCCAATGTCTTTGTCCGAGATAAAATTACCAATTGTAAATGTAATTTATTTCCTCATGAATCTTTTGGCGCGGTTCCAAAAAAAACACATGCAGGGCGGGACAACACCTAGAGAGAAGCAGGCTTGGAGCCCGTGGATTGGCGGAATCAAAGCATGTAAATATAAGGAATAACTGTCAGATTTTCCGAATTCATGAAGATGATCAATGGATTGGCTTGTGTGATAATTTTATGCATAAACGCCTTCGGCGTTTATGCAAATTATCACACAAGCCAATCAATTGATCACTTCATGAATTCGAAAAATAAGACAGTTATTCCTTAAATCAATCAATCAACCACCGGTATACTAACCTATCTTCCTTAATAGTCAAAGAGGGAGACATTCATGGAACATATATATCATTTGTCAATAATTTAGTTTTAGTTGTAACACGTCACAATGGGTTACGCCAAAAACGTATCACTCCGCTTGACGTTACTTTTAAAATATGCTTTATTTGAAGGTATTTCAAGTGGACAAGTTGTCTTATTATTGTCTACATTGAAATTAAATTATAATGAATGAAGCTTATTTTAACTTATTTTATACAATATAATAACTTGAGGCAATTTACCTTTTTTTTAATAAACTGCTCAATTCGCGGTTAATAAAGGGTAAACTGCCCCAATTTATACCAAGAGAAACACAACATATATTTAAGGAATGTGTCATCTGACCTTAAAATAAACTTCATTCCGTAAATATTCAAATGGTTTTTATGAGTCAGAATGAGTGAGTATTTAAGAAAGCTAATGATGCAGATGTTTTCAAGTTAATTATGTTCCCCAAACGGAGTTTGGGAACATATTGTTTTTACTCGGTTTCTTATTATTATTATTATTATTATTATTCTTTTTTTTCTTCTTTGTTCTCCGGTACTTTTTTTGTCCGGAAGTGTTCTCAGAAACTGTTCACCCAACTAAGTTAAAACCTTTTTAGGGTTAATAGGTGTCAAGTGTAGGTGTGCACAACGAAGGTCATTTTGCGCGCATACGCATGCACGTGCGTGCGCGTGAAATGAGTGAAATGACTGATATACTTATTATAGCCATAACTTTTACAGTTTTTATTGAAATGCTTTGAAACTCATTCTATAAGGATATATTAATAGTCTAGATAATATGACATGGTCAAATTAGCACGAACTCACGTGCATGCACGTGCGCTTCCCTCTGATTGGCTGAAACAAAGATTTCAATATCTCTTTTGTTTTTTGACGAAATGCTTTGAAATTTTAAACATAGTCATGCATTAGGATATACTACAATATAATATATAGCAGGTATCATGAAAACACGCGCATGCACGTGCGCTGCAATCTGATTGGCTTAAACTTTAAATGGGTATAACTCCTTTGATTTTCAACCAAACAGGATGGGATTTAGAACATAGATAGACATAGTGGATTCCTACAAAAAGGTAAGGTCATCATGCACATGCATGCACGTGCATGCACGTGAGATGGGTAAAATAAAAAATACACTTGATGAAGCGTATTTTTTAATACTTTTGGATTAAATGCTTTATTATTTTATTATATTAATGTATATAGATAGTGTAGACAAGAGAATATGGTCATTACGCACATGCATTTACATGTGCACGCGTGCAAATGCTAAAATTTGAATATACTCGGTATACTTCAGGGAAACGTTGTTAAAGTGTAAAATGCATAGAGTTTGTCATTTTTAATGAAGCTTAAAGGGAGTATGGCACGAAAAGGGAGTTGGGGAGCGTTTGGGGAACATCTGTAACGGTTCCCGTTACAATTAGCCCTAGTTATCATTTTTTTGTTTTCTTAGTTTTCCTACACCAGTGCCATTTATTATCAATACCTAAATACGATCAAGAACAACATGGTGTTGATGTTTGAAATTGGTATCAGATTCACAGATTTCTCTTGAAAATTGAAGATTAAATTAAAGATTCAATTAAATACATGTTCAACAACTGCAATGCAGGTGGCCAGGGCCGATAAGTAAATGAGCATAAAGAATAAAAAAACAAAACCTTCTGTTTTGAAAAAAAGTACATTCAAAGGGTAAATGAGATAATTCACACTGTAATTTATATAATAATCTAGTAATCATCATACCATTTTTTCTTGTGAAACACAAGTTTTAATATTACTCATGACTGTATCTGCAAGATAGAAAACGATAGAATAAGGATTTTATCTATCTTTACCATACAGTTGGGACTGTCGGCGATTCATTACACGGCGGAGCCAGGAGACACAGAAACTCTAAAGCTGTTACTGGCCTACCAGTCACCGATAGACGCCAGGGATGTGGTAAATATCAGGCTCTCATACAAATTATCACGACCATGTTATCATATCTAGAAATGGGATAAAAATCAGGTTCTCATACAAATTACATGTATCACCATCATGTTACTTCTCATATATAGAGATGTGGTAAATATCAGGCTGTCATCCAAGTTATCACCACCATGTTACTTCTCATATCCAGAGATGTGGTAAATATCAGGCTCTCATCCAAATTATCACCATCATGTTACTTCTCATATCCAGAGATGTGGTACACAAATATCATGCTCTCATCCAAGTTATCACCACCATGTTACTTCGCATATCCAGAGATGTGGTACACAAATATCATGCTCTCATCCAAATTATCACGACCATGTTACTTTTTATATCTAGAGATGTGGTAAATATCAGGCTCTCATCCAAATTATCCCGACCATGTTACTACCGGTATATCTAAAGATGTGGTAAATATTAGCCTCTCATCCAAATTATCACCAACGTGTTACTTCTCATATTTAAAAATGTGGTAAGTATCGAAGTTCTATCAAATCTGTCCAAACACTCCTAATAATGTAACATCATTATTTACACACTGAATTGTCTATGATACGCTATGTTCCGCTTTCCCGATCATGACAAGGAACACACGGCGGGTGTGACCGATCGGCAGGGTATGTTTAATCCTCCTTGGCACCTGATCCAACCTCTGATTTTTTGGAGGTCCTCGTTTTTGCTCTGCTCCTGATTTGTATTTTGGACTTCCTGTTTGAATACTGTTCGTTATCTCCATATTATCGTAGCCAGAGAAAATATGCGACTTCCATTTGAATACTCCCAACAATGTGACGGGGTATTTTATCAGGCGTCTCCATATGAGTGAAAAATTCTCGAGAAGGGCGTTAAACAATATACAATCAATTTATCAATCAATCAGGCGTCTAACCTAACACTCCCTAATTATAATTATAGCACAACCACCCCTTGTTGAAAATATTATAGTAATATATAGTTAGGAGAAATAATCACTGATTATAAGTGGCCATGGATTAAGGACATACTTGTATGCAGTAGCAACATACAACTGTACAGTTTATGTTATGTCTGTGCTACATGTATCAAGATTTTCTTTATAAGAACGAATATATTGATAGGGAAGAAACTTGTAATGCCTGTATTACTTGTATTAAGATTTTCTCTATAAGAACGAATAAATTGATTGGAAGAAACGTACATTCATAAATACTTGAGGTATATAGATGCGGACGTGCAGAAAATATTTCAAATGCATCAATGCATATAATGCATTGTTTTTGTGTAATTAATAATTTGAAAATTTGATTAAGGAAAGAAAATAATTTACTATTACAAACAGCATCTGCTTAAATAAGTAAGAACAAGAATGCACTGTTTCTATCGAGGCCTAAAGTCAGATACATGAAACTTATGGAGATAACGAACAGTATTCAATATTAAAGTCCATAAAACAATACAAAATGGGAGGAGAGCAAACAAGGACCTCCAAAACATCGGAGGTGGGAACAGGTGCCATGGAGAAGTAAGCAATCGGAACATCACGAGTTCGACCTTTTCCGACAAGTCGAGAAAACGGTTTTTTTCTTGACGGAAAAGACCGAGTGATGTTACGATGTCCTGAGGGATGTTTTCTCCAATATAAATTTTCTAATTTTCAGGAGGGGTGCACACCTCTTCATTATGCCGCAGATCGCAATAATTTGGCAGCAACAGAAATTCTCATCTTTTGTGGGGCGGACGCTTACTCCAAAAATAAGGTTCACTGTTTATGTCCAATATTTATTTGTTGTCCGTGACACAACTTATGCTATATATTCATTCATATTCATACTACTGATGTGACCTAAGTTTAATTTCACAATTGATTTTTTTTATAGAAAGGAGTGTGCCCATATTCTATCAACAGAAATGAAGATTTCCGAAAAATCGCCAGTCAGTCCAAAAAAGTTTTAGAAGCCATTAAAAACAAGTATGGCATATTTCATTATATCAATGTAATTTAATTTATCCTTAAAAGTTTATTCAAAAGGTGAAAATAACGATCAGTGATCGAAATAAAACCTAATGATAGGTTATATTTGCTTACAAGGTCATTAAATTGACCACAGAATTTACGAAATGCTGACTTGACACGATGTTGCTGATATCCCAATAACATGAACTTTTCTGTCAGTAGCCATCCTCAGTTTTAAAATTGATTGAATTTGGGAGGATGCCCTTGAGTATCAAAAATTCAGGAAATGAAACACCATATGCAGGTTTATGGGCAGGATATTATTACATAAATAGGGACTGTTGACGATGAAAAAAGTTGAATTCATCTCGGTTGTATAATAATTAAATTGGGAGTTGGGACTTACCGTCAATGGTCAGTAAAACATATTAAAATGAAACAAATGTGTCAGACTCTGTGGCGTATTTTATTACAAGTTCACTTGCATACATCGAATCAACTTATGAACGAAAATAGCTGCTGTTATTTGTTTAAGAAATAAAGTTTTTATGTTGCAATAACCTTTATAATGTTGTTTGAACGATAAAAGCCGAGGCTTTTATATTTCAAACAACATTTCGAGACCGAGGGGGTTATTCTGATCTGATAATTTTTTGATGACGTTCGTGATTTATTGGAGAATAATGTCCGCGGCATTTCTTTGATCTCGGCAATAGTCGTAGAAAAATAATTGATAATACAGCTTCGATATATCCAAATGTTGCGTTGAAGGTCACAACAACAGTTTTCTCATGTCTAACCCTAATACGAAATTCTACTTTGTTGGAATATAAAAACAGGTCAGCTAATAAAGGAGCACAATAAATGCCCATTGGAATTCCAACAGTTTGTTTGAAGATTTGGTCTCCAACGACTACATAAATCTTGTCAGTGAGGAACGCCAGGATACTGATACTTTCAGCTTCAGAATACCTTTGTGTGGAATCAGAATTATTTTCAACAAAATAACTTTTTTTGATGACCGATCACAAGATATGACTGCGATTTTCGTTCGAAATATATTCTTTTTAATTTTTCTGTAAGTTTCCACAGGTATGAAATTAACATATTTGTTGGTGTACCTACAGATTATCGATACTATTGGCGATTTCCATGTTTTAGAATATATTTCATTATACAAATCGGTGCACGTGCTGGTTTATTTTACATAGATGTAGTTGAACAAAACGATGAAGTTGCTGTTTTAATTTTCAGAGATGTGATTATACAACACGATGAACTTTTCCCAGGAAAGGTTAGTTTCTTTGAAGATATTGAACTTAGAATATTCACTCCCCACAATTTTGATCTGACTAGCATCAGCTTCTTGTGTCGACGTGTTCGACCGGAACTCTGCATGGAATCACTTAGGCCTGTCGGGAAAGAAATCTTGATCAGCGATGCGTTTGAGTATATAACTTCTACTGTTCATGTAAGAAGAATGGTAGAACTGGAAGTTCCACTTTACGATCTTTCTGATCCATACGAAGTAATCAAGATAAAAACGAACGAAGGTGTTATAGAAGATCCATCTGCAATAGTTGAAGGACCAACAATATTAAGCGAGGTACAAGACACTAATTAAGATTCATTTTCATAAACTAATATTTAAACTGATGGAATCAAAGATAAATGAATTAAAGCATAGTTTACATTGTGTCTTTTGATTTTTTAGCACTCTGGGATTTTGCGCTGGAAGTTAAGAATACGTTTGGATATTACGAAAACAAAATCCTTTATTCTTATCACAATACCAAAGGTGGAGAAATTTCCTGTAAATGGAGATATATCTAGCGGAGGGGATTTTGTTTCAGTGGTAGATAGATTTATTAACATAAGAGTTGCTCCGGATACTTTCCATTCAGGGACAGTCAACTTAGAGGTAAAAAACGATATCATTGTCATGTAATCCAGTGATAGTTTTTCATGTAAAATATGATTAGAAATAAAAATCTTTACTGCTGAAAATGTTCATATCCATGATTGGATAACATTCTGATGAGTTCTTTACAGGTTATTCCAGCTCCAGTGTATAAACCTGAACACTATAGGGCAGTGTTGTCCCTTGGTCACTTCTACGACTTGCACCACAGTCAGGGCTGTAACAGGTTTCAAGAAAATGGGGTAACATTTACTTCTCCTTTACCCCACGAGTATGAAAACGAGGGAGAACTATGTGTACTAGCAGCAGATATCCCAGAAGATTTCGATCCCGACTTAGACGAGCCTCTGGACGAAAATGTTTGGGAAATTTTGAAGAGAGATCCGAAGATACAGAAAGGAAAAGTTTCTTGCGATCTTTCCCACTTCTCGACGTGAGTGTAATATAAAATTATAAGAAGATGAAGCCCTATTGTCATTTCATTTGCTCTGTTTCATTTAGCGTGTCTACAAGAAAGTGTATGATTATTTTCAGGCACGTACTGGTGGAACGTAGTGAGGGAGCCCCAGACAAAGAATTAAAATCCAACGTCAATAAACTCCACACTAAAGCACTGAAAAGAGCAAAAATAGTCCAGTTTTTTGCTGTGATTAAACCAAAGCCCGATAATCAATATGACACAATTCTAGAGTGCGCAAAACCTCAGAAAATAAAGGATAGGCTGAATTACTGGAAGACTGAAGACTATATAGTGTTGAGTCCGAAGTGTACTGGAGAATATGAATCTTATGAAAAACAGGAATATGATATCACAGTGTCCGGTAACCTTAAAATGTTTGCTGGAACAAGCCAACTGGAATTTCACTCAAAAAGACAAGAAAACTTTCAAAGCATGAATATATCCATTTTAAACAAGGAGGAGCCTCAATCAGGTTCTCTAGATGTGATAAAAATGCCAAAACAGAAGAAATTGACCAGCATCATTCTATGGCTGTCCGATTTGCCTGTTAAGAAAGTTCGAAAAGAAGAAGACACATTTAAGGGTATGATGTTTTTATTGCAGTCTCGGTCGAACATTTAGCTTTAAGATAAAAGAAATGGTGTTAAATACGACATAAAACGTAATTGTTCTACCAGGTATTTCTTTTTTTTTTTAAATCAAGGTTTTACTAGAGAGAAACTGCTCAAGAAAATTGTTTCCAAGCTCGGTCAGGAATGGGTTCAGTTTTGTGTTTTGCTGGGTGTTCCATTTCACAAAGTGGAAAAAATTCGCGTCGAGTCGACAACAAAAAGTGCATCACTAGGAAAGAAGGTCGTAAAGGTCAGTGATGTTATACGAGACTTAGTAATACTCAATTTAAAATAAGTAGCCAAAAAACCTAAATGTTATCAATTACAATTTTCATTATAAAATGTTCAAACTAAATCTTATATATTCTTAAAAGATAAAGGGTGTTCTACCTCTATAGAACAAATTATTAACTACAGTGTGAAATCTTGCAAAGATCATTTTCTCAGAAATGGAAGCGTTTACTGACAAATAGAACAACCGATCTCAAATAATGATAGTAATTTAAAAAATCTTGTTCAAATAGATATTGCTAGAATGGCGAAAAAATGCCCAGCACCTAGACGATATGGGAGTGGTGGATCTAGTCACGTCGCTCTCCAGAGTGGGGCGGAAAGACGTATCAGACTGGGTTCATAAGAAATTGGGTCAATGGTATGTGCCAAGCTAAAAATATATTCAATTTTTATTGTGCTCGCATTCGACTCTTGTGTTTAACCCAAGATTTTGTGCTGTTTAAAGGTTGAAAGAGAATGAATTTGAGAAAGGTGACAGGTTTTATAAGTGGGCAGAAAATGCCATGAAAGGAACTTTGGAGATTTCGAAAAATGACGGTAATATTTTCAAGTATTGAAGTCATGACCAAATTCAATATAAATTCAAAAGCTACACCTACTTCCACGTCTTCTTTTTTGTTTTTTAGATTACCCAGAACCAATGTCAAACGAATTCTTTGTTCTACTGGTTGAAAAATTTGCTAATCCGGAATTTCAGAATTTAGGTGTGTCGCTAGGAATATCAGAAAATCAGAACGCCAACATATTTGCCGACACAACTTTTCCTAATTACCAATATAAAGTTTTACATGTGAGTACTGATTTCATCTTGTGCTTGATACATATTTCTTGAACTGAACTCCTTTTCACCGAGAAAACGTTTTTTTTTTGTTTTGTTTTTTAATTTTTTCTTAATTTTTTCTTATAAAAATTTCATTGTCACAGTGTGAAAGGATTTTTTTTCACAGTGTGACTTTTTCTTTTTAGTGCGAAAATTTCCTTGATAACAAAGATTGTTAAAAAAATTTTGTCATTATAATATAAGATAGATGAAAATAAATAAACCACTCTGGCAGCGAATAAAACTGTTAAAAGTACCAAAAATATGTTGCTAAATCCATGGATGTTTACAGTGTTTTCACCTCACATAGCTATGACGTCTCAACCAGTGAAAATAAAGACGCCGTGGATGACTGTATAACAAAAAGACTGCAAAAAAAATCAAAGAATGGTATTTTAAAATGTAATTTCAAAAACCTTGTTTTGTAAAGTCATCGATTCAGGATTTTTGAATTTTCATTCTTATCTGAAAATATCAAAAATCGTCATTGTGACCTTGTTAGCAAATACACCTTTTATTCATTTGGGCAACTACAAAACATTGTATATGCCTTTTATTTTTTCTATTTTCATTTATTCTTTTTACCTGATTTTTTTATTAGAAAATTTCCTTGATATTTTGTTATTATTATTTTGTCATTATAATTTCTTTTAGATGTTGATCGTGGCACGTGAGCTTCATGAAGACCGCATTGATGCCCTATCAGACCTTATTAAAGCTCTCCAATCCAGTGAAAATAAAGACGCCGTAGACTGGATTAACAACTGTAAAAATAAATGGTATTTTATGATAATTTCAACAACCTTGTTTAAAGTCATCGATTCGTAAATTCTTATCTATAGTCGTCATTGTGACCTTGATAGCAAATACACCTATCATTCAATTTGTTGCATGTTCACAATTGTATTTTTAATTCAAGGAAAATTCCATTTACCTGATCAATTGACGAAAATAATTAGCACTACTTTCAGGGTTCCTAACACGCTGCGTGACCTGTCAATCAGCAGTTGCTAAATTTCCTATTAAGTTGATCACTTAATTGTTAAGATTCTATGTTTATGCTCTGTTCACAATTTACTTTTGTATTTTTTTTTTAGATCGTCAACCGTTTGATATCTTCACATTTTCAAATTTTATTGCTTCCATTTTATGGCTGTTTAGGTTGAAGTTTGTTGCATGTCAACTGAGTTTTTACTTCAAGGAAAATGGACTTTTTTAAACCTATTTTCAATTGATAGAAAATAATTAGCACTATTAAAGATTTTTCGTTAGTCACTAAGACCTCTAGTTTTTAATTTAGACCAAACTTGGGTTATTCGTGGATAGTTTCCATTCTTTATAAAGGAACAAGTATTTTGAATTTTGAATAAAGATGAAAATATTTAAATTTTTTTATTTGCTTTTTCTTTTTGTATAGGACAGAGAAAAATAAAGATACGAGGGAAATGACTAAATTTCAGCTTGATCTTGAGCGATCCATTCGGAAAGAGGAGGGGAAGGAGGACGACAGTGAGGTAGAGGAGGAAAATAGCGAAAACGACGAGGACGACGACGACGAGGAAGGAACTCCTCAAGCAGTCCAGAACGAGGCTGGGAATGCCACCTCAGAACAAGATCAAAAATACAACTCCGAACTCAAAGAAAACAGAGATAGTATTACATTCAATAAAAGTGATCAAAAGTCAAACGAGGACACTGATGGCAAATCCAAATTTAATGAATCAGAGCTTAAAGAAAAGAAGAATGTCGAGAAACCATCTGACAAAGAAAATGAAGTAGATAGGTCAAAAATACAATCTAGTGACACGTCTGCTATCAGTGATCTAGAGAAAAAGGCAGATGATGTACATTTGTCTGTAGACGACAGTCGTAATACAGAATCCAAATCTGAACTTGTAATAGAATAGCAAATAAGAAATTCTTTCAATAATGCTATTGTGTAAATCCTTCATTAGTAAAAAAATTTTATGTTTTATCTATTTAATATTGCAATTGTGTGAATGTGACATTTGTCAAAATTGATGTTTTTAACCAATTGTCCAAAATTATGTTTTATAAACATCTACAAAACCTTTCAACGGTACAAGATGAAGATTTACAACTACCTACAAAACCTTTGAACGGTCTAAAATGATGTCTATTAACTATTCAATGATGTGTTTTGTGCATGATACATTTGTCCAAAATTAAGATATAAAACTATTTACAAAAACTTTCAACGTTCCAAAATTATGTTTTATTACTATCTACAAAACTTTTTAACCATCAAAAACTATGTTTTATAACTATTCAATTATATTTTCTGTCCAAGATGACAATATTCAATAACACTATTGTTTGAAGTGCAACATTTGTCCAAAATAATATTCATAACTATCTTCAAAACATTTACACGGTCCAAAATTATGTTTTATAACTATTTAATAATACTTTTGTGCAAATGTTAAATGAAGTTTTAAAACTATTTACAAAACTTTTTAACAGTCAAAAATTGTGTTTTATTACTATTCGATAATACTTTTTGTTCAAAATGACAATATTCAATAATAATATTGTGTGAAATGCAAAATTTGTTGAAATAATATTTAAAACTATTTTCAAAACATTTGCACGGTTAAAAAATAATGTTTTAAAACTTATTAATAACTATCTAGAAAAAAATTTCAACGGTCCAAAATGGACATTTGTGTTTCATAACTATCTACAAAACGTCATACCAGTCCAAAATGATTTTTATAAATAATCTTTAATTTCTTCAACGGTCCAAAATTATGTTTTATAACTTATGAAATTTATAAAATTTTTGGACATTGGTATTTTATAACTATCTACAAAACTCATACCAGTCCAAAATGATTTTTACAACTTATCTACAAATTTTGAACGGTCCAAAATTTTGTTTTATAACTTATGAAATAACTAACTTTCCTGTCTAATTTTCGAGGTATAACGACTCTAGACTCAGGAATTTATGTTCACCATGAAATATGTAATATTTCACAGATAGTATTACTCAACAGTTCTACATTCACGAAATTAAATCCCTACGAACCAATATTTTTTCATTAATCATCAAAAATTTGCTCCCATGAATATGTGTTTTACAGTATTTACAAAACATTTAAACAGTCCAAAAAGATTTTTTATATCTATTTATTTCAAAAAAATATTTAATTTGAAATTTTCAATTGAATCCAATGTAGATTAACTTATTTTCAAAAGAAATAAGAATAATGAATATAAGAAATACATATATTCACCAAAACTGATTTCAAATTAACAAAAATAGTTCTATTCTGGAATTGATTTCAGCACATTTCGGGAAGTAATCGGAAAGAATGGAGGCGTACAAGGCGAGGACAATCCCCCGCTCTGAAAAAAGACATTTCTCAATTCTAAAGTTGTATTTTTTCAAAATTTTATGGTTTATATCATCTTTTACACATCAAATTCTGTATTTCATTGTTTAAATAATTTATCAATAATTTATTTTTCACGCATGTTTTTAAGACATTTGAAAACAAAAAAGAAAAAGCTTCACGTATGGTTCGAACTCTCTCCATAGCGCAGGTTTGGTCCAAGACCAACCACTCTAACCACTACGCTACGAAGTTTATGCATTATTGACGTCTTTCAGTGTGATTTAACTGAACGGGTTTGTTGAAGCGTAATTTTTTTTTGAAAAGTTCGATTTCATATAGAATGGGTTCAGATTCCATTTTTTGGACAAATGAAATAGATTTCACATTTACGTTTCCATCTTTTAAGCGTTCACGAAAAATGGAGACTTGACCCATTCATGTTCAAAATTCGTTTTTTATAGCTCTATTAAACCCATTTTCCACTAAATATGTTGAACTGTCAACTTTGAAATAAATATTATCAAATGATAAGTCGTTCAGTAAAATAAAATAATAACATGTTTTGAAGAAGAAATTACTGAGAACATGATTTTAGAAAAATATAACTTTTCTGTGAATTTTGAAAATTGAGAAACATTTTGTCTCAGAGCGGGGGATTGTACACGCCTTATACGCCTCTTTCTTTTAATGAACTTCGGTGGTAGTGTAAAATATACAGAATTTGTAAGTGAGGCCAGAAATGTTTGTTTGCCCTCTCCCTACTCAGGGTAAAATTATTTGGTCGGTAAGTATGTGGTAAACTCTTTATACTGAAGTATTCAACATATATTTCGACGGAATAAGAGGAATAAAATGAAAAAAAATGTGTTCTGAAATGAAAAAAAAAAGTTTCAATCCGGGCCATTTTTAGTCAGTCGGTCGGGAGAAGGCAACCAAACATTTTTTTCAAAGATGGCTTAAGTAGATATGACCAGAAAGTATAACTGTAAATCAAGAGAGTTATAACACAGCAAAAGAAAGGATACATTATCTGAGGAGTTCCAACCCTTTATTCATCCCCCGTTTAGTCAGTCGGATTAATCTAACAGCCTGTGAAGTTTTCAATAGGAAGAGATCTAAAACTAAAATTTAGAGAACACTAGGAACGCCCAGGACAACGATGTCGATCATTACTGCAAATTAGAAGAATGCTGATGTATTTAAAACAGACATCTAACCGATCGAGAGATAAAGTTTACCTTGGGTGATGGAATCAAGCTGAAAACGTTGATGAAAATGAATAGGAGGGGACGTGTTAAATTAGCAGCTCCATCAACAAGACAAAGAATGCAATGAAGTTGACGTAGAAAGATGCCTGAGTTTATGATTGATAATATCCATGTGTTTTTTTATGAAGACCAGTTTTTCCAACAATATTTTTGAATTCCCATGGGTAATATTAGATATATCAACGACGTAATTAACAATGGTAATTTCCGTTCTTATTTCGATAGGAGATATCCCGGTGATCGTGAGATAAAAGATACAATCTGATTCATATTTGGATATTTTACTTGAAAAGACTTTATTGTAATCTGACAACCAAGCTCTATCTAGTTAAACATAACTACTTAAACTTTACAATCGTCAACTTCCCTTAATTATGCATCACCTGCGATACGCAAGAGCATGCTCTACGTATGAACAATTTCTAAAACGATGTAAATTATTGACAAGCAAGTTGATAAATCAAGAATATCAACAGTTTCGTCATCATTTCGTACGTTCTATGGTATTAGTAGATACAATGACCTTGTCAGCAAATACATTTTATCAGTGAGTCAAATGCTGACTGACGTTTCTCATACTAATTTTTAGTCCATTATCTATACACTAAATTGACAACGGATTTTCCCGTTATTTCATTTTTGTGATCAAGCAGCACACGGCGGGCTTGTGATCAAATGCTGACTGACGTTTCTCATACTAATTGTTAATCCATTATCTATCTCGTACACTAAATTGACGACGGATTTTCCCGTTATTTCATGACAAGGAGTTTGGCAGGGGATGCTCATTCCTCCATGACATCTGATCCCACCTCTGATGTTTTGGAGGTCCGTGTTTGCTCTGCTCCTATTTTGTATTATGGACTTTAGATCTTGAATAGTGCTCGTTATCGCCTATGTTTCATATAAAGAACGAAAAAAAGAACGAATAAATGGACTGTTAATGAACCCAAGAAAATTTGTAAATCAGAAATATTGGTGTATGGGCGGCAGTATCTGATAGAGACGTGCAACAGGAGATATACACAACTGCACTATTTAATTAAGATGTAATTTCCATTAAATTTCATTAAGTGTGATGAGGAGTTGTGTAGAAAGATTCCTACGCATACAATTGTGAAGTTGACAGACGGACACTTCCATCACGATGGACTTTAAAACGGGGAATAAATAATCGCTTTGAAGAATTATTAGAAACGGTAACAATTATTCAGTGATGAGATAAGAAAGGAGGGGCGTGTGTGTAGTGCATGCTGCCTGCAGACAGACATAATCGACGTAGCAAAGCCAGTAACAGATGGAAGCAAACTATGTGTGTCGAAAGAATTAATAACCGTGTCAGTACGAACGTTATTAATTTGATGCAGCGTAACAAACTACACACGTGTCAAAGAGTTAAAGGCATGTTTACGTAATATTTAAGAATCTTCATCTGGTAGAAAGTCATTGAAATCTTAAATGTGCATGTAAAGATGTCAAGATTTTATCTTATTGATCAGATCTGCTAATCATTGGTTTTATATTAAATATTGTTTTCTAATGTCTGCGAAGTTTGCAATGAATTATATATCTGATATAGAATTTGAGACCTTACATGTATCCTGGTATTTGATATTAAAATTGTGATGCTAAATATATATTTATAAGTGAATAATTAGATACTCATTTAGATAGCATATCATAGTTTTCATACCGCCAGCGAGAAGCTCTTTCCAATTGAGTCATAAAACGATCGCCTATCCACACGGGGGATTTACTGTTGCAATATCGCAGTGTGTGGGGATTTTTAACCATCAGTGATAATGCATGTTTTAAACAAACGGAAATTTATTGAAGGAAACTCAAATTTATATATTTTTTAGAGGAATTCATGCTTAACTTTTCACTATTATTCTTTCCTGTGGCAGCACAACATTGGTTTCATTGTAACAACTTTACAGTGTTTGAAGGTATGTATCGTATGCGAAGTATTCTACTAACATGTTATTTACATATTTAAATAAAAACTTCTATGTATTCGAGAGATATTAATTGGACTAAGTTCTGAAAATTGTTTGATAATAGGATGTTAACAGATTAACGGCAAAAACTCTTAATAAGTTACCATGTATATATGTATTGGATTTAGTATTCTTATCATATTCATGTAGAGGAAAGAAAATACTTAAATAACCTTTAAGTTAAAACAAACTTGCTTGTTATTCTATGCAAAAAAATAAAGTGTTTACATTAATTATATATTTTGAGTCAAGGCTACAAGATGCTTATTTTTCTATTTTAAGTAACTTGCAAATAAAAAGAGCATGTTACAAGTTCAATGTAAATCCTTATCATGTGCATACAAATACAATGTATCATAAACAACATTAAAATACATGTAAAATGCTAGGAGACTATTACATCAAAGCTGCTGATGCAGTCACAGATAACAAATGTTGAATTCGTAACACGGCTCACTTAAAACAACCCACTCGATCTCTTGCTTGCGAAAAAATTGTAAGCAATTCAAATAAAGTTTCAGTTCCTCATTGGCACTTTTGATTCTTCAAGGAAATTAGAATATCGAATATACCGAGTTTGGAGATGATTTTTTAATTTCCTTACCAAACCTCTCTCTTTTTCGCAGGCTACTGACCGGAGCTGTTTGCTCTTGTTCGAAACATCATAAACACGAAGATGAATCTAAGATTTATGTGGTTTCAGATATGCATATTTTTTTGTTTCAAATTTTACAGATTTAACTATGGACAATGTAACCCAGATTTACGCCAATGCTTCTGGAGTAAGGTTTGAAAGCTTAGAAGAGATCAACCGGTCAATAGCAGTACAGCGCCTTCCAACTGTCATCTTTTTAATAATTTTGATAATTATTGGAACAATTGGAAACACATTTGTGCTTGTCATATATTCTCTGAAGTATCCACCCTCAACATTCCGACTTTACATCCTGACATTAGCGGTGCTAGACTTGCTCTCCTGCTTAATTCCAATGCCACTAGAAGTCTTCGACAATGTATATCCGGTGATGTTTTACAACGAGCCAATCTGTAAATATGGCCGTTTTTTAGGCAGTGTCCTTAAGATTGGATCTGCGTTTGTCCTTGTTGTAATAGCTGCGGGTAGATATAAAAGGATCTGTCACCCATTCTCAAAGGCCACCAGCTTGTTGCAGGCCCGTCTTTGCTGTGCATCAGCCATAGTTCTTGCTATCGCGTTTTCGTGGCCAAATGCAATTCTTCAAGGAATTAAACGAGTGTATCTTCCAGGTAATATTACAGGTTTTGATTGCACTTTTGATGACGCAACCATAAACACAAAATATCCTTTCATTTATTCTACGATACTATTTGTTGTGTATATTACGGTATTTTTGCTACTAACTTCATTATATTCTCTTGTGATTGTCTCTCTTCGAAAACAAGCGAAAAAACAAAGAAGTAAAAATCTTGGTGAAAGACTCGATAAAACAAACCCAAGAATTACGAAGCTTATGATTGCAATCACGGCGGCATTTATATTGTGTTATTTACCAGACTGCGTCATGGATGCTGTGTCTACTTTCAAGAGAGGAACTATTTTCCCGCCGAGTCGCTTTGTTTTGGGAACACTTCCGCTTTTAGCCAGAGCATTTTTCATCAACAATGTCATCAACCCCTTCATATATTTGATCGGGGAATCGAAATTCCGAGATATCGTAAAGCAGTCATTAAGATGGATTTTCTGCACCATCTGTTGCCGTACTCAAAATAAAATGAAGAGCTTCGCCATGGAAGAGTAATTATCGTAACGGAAGTAAAATCTAACGACAATTTAATGTAGATATAAATGTATATTTGAGATCATTGTGTTGCTCTAATTCATTTCTTATGAAGGAGGATGTTAAGTGCGATGGTGCAAATGGATTATTTTATTACCTTTTAACGGATTATAAATGATTTGCTTGCCTTTATACTTATACGACTAGGCATTAACTTAATTCTGCACAGAGGTGCTGGGGAAAAGGTCAATCAGTTGAAAATATTGGGTATTCAAGTAACTGCATGAATTTTAACAGATGGATGATGCTATCAGTCATAGAAATACACGTAATATTGGTTCAGATTCAAGATGACATTTGCCAGGCTATTGTTCTAAATCACAATTGTTCTGAATTTGTTATAAAAAGGATGCTAGAGTTCCTCAATAAGACAACATTTATGAAGTCTTTGGAGACTAGGTCTTCTAACAAACTTTTGGACTTCTGGTATGTACTAATTGTGCTCAATCATTAGCCAGCCTTTGTTTTTTTCCTTATTTATGTAAAGCAATTTTTTAAAGGAAAAAAAAACATTTATACGAATAGAAGAAAACGCTTTGGTCTTCAACTCGACGTTGACAACGTGTTATCAATTAACAATATTTGTGACGCGCCAAGCAAAAACCTCCCTTAACGAAGAATTTTGACATTTTCAGTTTTTTATTGATTCTTGTAGAGTTTTTCTTTCTCTTTCGTTTGATGTATAACATGACATATATTTCTGCGTATAAATGTATAAAATATCGCACGACAAATACGGAATATTTACTTTGACGTACAGTGTACGCGTGCGTAACTTCATGAATTTTCATAACGTAAAATCGAAAAATAACGTGAAGCTATATAATGATTTGATGATATATATATTTTCAAACATTTGATTTGATTCCCTTAAAAATATCAATAATTAAGATTTTTAATCGTAATGATAAAAATAAACAGAGTAAACTATATCTTTGAAACTTTGAAAAATGAAAAGGGGGGGGGGGGCACTGAAATGATTGACAAGGGCAAAAGAACAAAACGTTACTCAAATCGAAAATCTTCTCTTCCTCTAAAAGCTATTCCAATTTATGTCTTTTTAATGCAAGGAAATGACAGACAACAGTAAAAGGAAATAAGCAAAATTTAAAAATGTTAACCCCTTAATCTCATTTGGTAGAGCACTGGACTGGCAAGCCAGAGGCCTCGGGTTCAACCCCAATTAAGCAGAGGCACTTAATTAACCCGAGTTTTTAAAGAGTGCGACAGGGTTTTTTTCATCTAAAGGATACCACATTTCTTTTACATACCACGTTTATTATATGTATTTACTTGTTTTAGTCTCGAATGTTTTACTACGGGAAAAAAGTATGCATCATCTCTGAAGACTTTTGACTAATTGATACGATATTCCGCATCCAGGAATAAATTGTATTTGTTTCTTGTAGTAGAGTTCGATCATTTTCTTCTTTGGATGTCGTTATGCAATCGGTCTATAACTCACATGAGGAACTTGTAAGTTGTCAAACTTGTTTCCAATCCTTTTGTATATCTCAATAAATGCGTGTTCAAATCAAAAACATTTAAGATTAGGTGCATCAAATTTTAAAGTGTTAAATTAAAGTTTAAACCATTATTTCTTGTAAATCTTGAAACATTTGATTAATTTTTCCTGGCCCTCCGTTTCTTATTTTATGTTTATGCTTAAATTATTGACAAGAAATGTGTTTAGAATCATTTCGTACAAAGTGAGTTTGCATACTTTTCAGTAAATCAGAATGTAACACCAACCCCCATCCAATAAAAAATATGTATATTTTTAAAAATATGGTTTGAAAAAGAAATTCTGCAATTTATATGCATTATGAGGATGATTCTGACCGATTTTTGTATACTAACCGAATAACAAACCACAATACCAGAATATACATTAATCCCATAAGTAACACACTCCACAACTTCATTTACATTCATTTTTAGACATGGGCTATAAGGTCTAACCTAAACTTTACCGTTACCTTTCTGAGGAAGTACATGCACACATTATGATTTATTTTAATCATATCATATATTAGTTGCTTTTTTATTTAAAACATGCATGTTAAAAATTGCAACAGAAAGTAAGAGAATGGGTAACACATTCTTCATATTCTACAATTATCGTAAAAGGGGGGGGGGTGTCTCGGCTATGGATATTCACGCTTAATAAATTACCTGAACTAATATTAGACAAGTTCTTTGTTGACTTTTGCAAGAACAAGGCACACATGTACAATCTTAAATTGTAATGATAAATCCTTTTTCTTAAAACATAAAGCGTTTTGATAATTTTGCACAAAACTCCCCATGTACGTATGGACATGTATGTACATGTAGGCATGTATGCATCGTCGGAAACCCACGGGTGATCTCGTCTTTACCCATGGGTGATTTCGTCTTAATTTATCACAAGACGAGATCACCCGTGGGTTTCCGACGATTGCATGTGTGTACAATGCGACTTTTGCAGGAATTAAAGTATTGAAATTGTTTTAATTTGTTACATGTATGTATTAAACCTAGTACGCAGCAATGTTCAGTGTCTATACTAAGCATATATTTGGAAAAGAACACCCCCCCCCCCCCCCCGCTTCCAACGCCTATGTAAAATAATAATAAGTTGGAATGTTTCAAAAGAGTTGAAACAATTTGTATTAATTTGTAACAATTTGTATTACTTAAAACAATTTTAGCGATGTATCGTGTAACATCAACAAACGGGTTATGAATACATAACAGTGAAGCAAAATAACGGGATGTTTTTTCCCCGGAAATCTCAATCATATTATATAAAAATACCGTAGAAAGTGGGACAGTCACTGTACAGTGTATGCGAGCATCTGTACTGTATATATTCACGACAAAATTTACAAGTCTCCAAAGAGATAGAGCAGACACAGGAGAACGGGGGTGAATTTTTCCTACTTTATTGCGTACAATATGAGAAAGTGTTAAATAATAACAAAATAAATTGAGAAGCTCAAAAGCTCTTTCTTAAAATATTCATTTTAGATCAACAGCTAAAAACTAATTCCATGGAAGAAGTGGCCAAGTCAAATACTCTATGTCGTATCTATAGAGAATTACATTTTTATACTAAACTTCACTTCATGTATTTATCAATATCCTTGGCAAGCTATCAAAGATTATGTACAGTTCGTATTACTTGCACAGAAAAGTGCAAGAAAGACGATGTATTTTTCTAATACTTACATCATCTACGGAAGTGAAAAAGATGTGATACATGTATTATATATACTTCTTTAATTTAATTATGGTTATAACGTGGTATTTGATTGGATAAAGAAATTAATTTTTATTGCATAAAACATTGGGTTACCTATGTTACAATCACTTGCATAAAAACACATTGATCAGCCTGACGTAACATTTCAATATTGTACAATTTTTGTACGATTTTTTTTTCTTTATATAAACCACAGCGTTAAAAATTGGGTAGCTAAGAGAGGTAATTCAGGTCAATTTTCACTGCATCGCTATTTAAAAAAAATCTTGTTGTACTAACATACCCCATGTGGGGGCTTTAGTGAAATAAAAAGTTTCAAAATTTTTTTTTTTTTTTTTTTTAAAAAGATACCTTATACCTAGTTTAATGCTCCTGCTTAATTTTTCTTGCATGTGCATCACGATAAAACAGCTGGAAATTAGCAGCTTGAATTTAAAAATCCTTAAAAACTTCTTTGTTTGACATTTTAAGATGAACCGACTAAAATCTTTTAAAAACCTGCAAATTATTCATTCCGGAATTTTCTCATTCAATCAACAACTTTTTTTTTTTAATTTCAGAATCGCCTTTATTCAATATTGAGAGTGAGTGAGTGTGTATTGTTTAACGTCCCTCTCAAGAATTTTTCACTCATATGGAGACGTCACCGTATGCCGGTGAAGGACTTCAAATTTAGACCTATACTCGGCACTCAGGGCCATTGAGCAGTGAGGGTTCTTTATCGTGCCAGCGCCCACCGTGACACGGGACCTACGTTTTTAAGGTCGTATCCGAAAGACCCATGACTTTCACTTCTAGTGCCGAGCGCTTGGCAAAGGAACAGTCACTACCTTTGTTTACGTCTTAGGTATGACGCGGCGCCGCGAACGAGAATCGAACCCGGGCCTCCCGATCACTTAGCGAACGCTCTACCACTAGGCTACCGTGACCGGTTATTCAATACTGAACATTTGCGACAAAAAAAATTCGACCTACCTACCGACGCAATTTTTTTAAGTGAATAGAAAGACGGCGAACAAACTCCATTTTAATAACGGCCTTACGGGAATTTTTTAACCATCACTGGACATCTTTAAAAATATACTCTTAATAATCGTGAAAAGGATACTCACACAGATACTTGACGGAGAATAACTTCTTAAAGAATAAACTACATCAAACCACACCCAAGAATCTTTGTCAGCATATAAATAAAACAACATCCCCTTATTCTGCAGAGGAGAGTTTTTTTCTCGAGAAGGCTTTTTTACGTCGCTTTTACCTTATTGACTTTAGACGCGTCTTTTGACGTTACGTCATAATAGAGATAAGGGAGGTTTTTGCTTGGCGCGTCACATTTATTTTCATTCATATGCCTATTCGATACATCTAACTCAAAATAAAATAATCCTCGAGTCTAAACACAACTGTTCATATGTGGAAGTTTAACTGACTATAGGGAATAAAATCCAATTAACTACTAAAGTCTATGACAAACAAGATGACTTCAGCTTTCCCACAGCCATTTTCCTTATTTTATGTATATTAACAAGTATATTAATGCTACACTATAACCTGCATGTGGTGTTTATGTTTCCCATCTTATTCTTTAGGCCAGGCTAATGGCAGATAAGTTGATGTTACAGGCATTTCAACAAACTCGTTTAACGTAAGAATTTCATTGATATTATGGCCATTTTAAAAATGTAGATAGCATTTAGAACGAACATTGGTTCTTTTATTGGCTGACTTGCTTAATTAAGGAATGACTCTAATTCTTGGCCAAATTATCGAGT